GATGGCCACGTCGGATGATGTCATTAAACACTGTCAGCATGCGGCGCACGCCCCAGGCGTGTCGATTAATGATTTGTTCTGATCACAAAACATCAACCGGCACCTTTGCAACTGCTGCGGATCCATCTGTCATCTGCAAGAACCCGGACCTTTTGCTGCAAAGCGCGCTGAAGAGGAGACGTTTAACGTTCATAAGGGCCTAGGGTGAGATTTCTCGTTGCTGGTACTGTCCTCGACATATGTGATGTAGGGCCTTGCTATTACCATCTGTACCGCTACAAGAACACTCCAATACTCCTATGCAGGACCATACTGACAGCAATGCTGTGCAGCAAAGGACAAAACCCCCACTTGCCTTGCTCCATGTAAAACCTAAACCCGAAACCCCTAATCCTAAACCCTGAACCCCTGAACCCAAACCTTACAAAACCCGAGGGCTGTGCTCCGGCTTACAATTGCTGGAAAGCCACATGTGCGGATGCATCGCTTGCACCCTGCCACAGTTCTTCAGTGGCTTCTAGAGTTTAGGGCTTAGGGGTTTAGGGTTTAGGGTTGGGGGTTTAGGGTGTTTGGGGCGTTTGAAAACACTGCGGGTGGCTAACATGGCAGGTCTCCTACGGTACGTGGTGGCCTGCTTCACGCTACTTGGAGGATCATGGGACTTAGTAAGTAAGGTTATAAAGTACCTTAATTGGGGTTATAAGTTACCCTAATTATAACCCTAGTTACTAAGTCCCCTGATCCTTTAAGTAGAACTCTCATAGTCACAAGTCGCCATAGGCCGTAGCCTACACAAGCCACAGCGGATGGTACAACCTTCGGTCCTTCTGGTTTGAAAGGACCGGATTTGCTCAACAAAAGAACCCAATGTCAAGCTCTTCAGGGTCCAGCGACGAAAAAAGCTCGAGAATCTCAGGTGGAATCAGCATTCATAGTAGGTATCCCCATAGCTCCTGACGGATATAAGATAATATACTACAATACTTCTATACTGAACTTAGAAGCCTAGCAACAATTATGATTTCAGCTGTTTCTTAGGGATTATCATAACCAAAAATTAGAAACTATTTCTAAGTACCCCTAAGACTTTTGTCCAATCATAAAGGCCCTGACAGTACACCGACCCCAGAGTTGAACCGAGGAGAGGATCCGAGGGGAAGTGCAACCCAGAGACTCGAAGATTCCTTAATTAGGGTGCCTTAAATCCATATTAAGGATCCCGGTTTAGGGTTTAGGGTTATCCTACTATAATTTACGGTATAATCCTTAATTAAGGGACATTGGAGTCTCTGGGAACACTACGGCTTCCGTTTTAGAAGGTCTACCTATAGTCTCCATTGTAGTTCCTTTTTCTGGTTAACCAGTTTTATGGTTAGGGACCTATAATAGAGATTTTGGATAACAAAAAAAAAGAACTACAATGGAGACTATAGGTAGAAATGGAATACCTGTTTTAGTGATAAAGGGTGTAACATAAGCGGCTTCCTGAAACTAAGTAAAGACTTAGCTGTTCGATTCTTGAAGCGTTTTGGGACGAGGATGAAGGAATTGAGCGATTGAAGTGAATAAGAAGGTTCCTGGGATTTCAGAGTTGTGTGTTTCGAAACATTGGGGGGTCTTGCGTTTTGATAAGGTTTCGCCACAAATCTTCAGCTCCAAAACCCCCAAAACCTAAAGTCCTCACGTCTGCGCCTCTAACCCCTAAACGCCTAATCCTATATATGCTCCAAACATCCATGTTGCCCGAACCTAAGCCCGCATACGCTGTACACCTATACTCTAAACTCCCAACGCTATGCACAATCTCACGGCTCGTAGGACACTAAAACCTAGCCCCAAAAAATGCAGTGGCTCCACAAACCGTGGTCCCTAAGGACCCAAAGCTTTCGAATCCCAAAGCCATAGCTTGCTTGAAGGGTCAAAAAGTCTTGGGGTTTGGTTCATGGTTTGGGGTCTTTAATCTTTGGGGCTGTGTCGGGCATGTTGAGTTGTGCACCCTGCCTTTGGATCGCAGAAAAGTCCACTTTGATGTTGGTGCTGCCATAGATTGCCTGCTGACACTCATGATGGAACAGCACCCGGATCGCAATTGTCAGCACACCGTGTGGGTGTGCATGCCTGTGTGAGCTTGAGGGTCAATCAGAGCAACCAGAAAGCTCTGTGGACATGGGTGCTGTTTTCGGGGCAGCTATACTATATGCACTCAACACCTACGAAGTGTTCAGTGTTTGGCGTCATACAGGTGCTCGAAATACTGGTCGCGCCCTGCTGGATTTGTAGCGGAAAAGACTCGGAAATGGTCTCACACATGATATGTTGGGTACATACATGCATGCATGCATATAGGAGTGCGTACATGCATGAATGCGCCCGCGCATACATTGATAGGTCCGTAGACAGCTAGGTATGGCATGGTATGGCGAACAGACGGACGACAGACAGACGGATAGACAGATGGACAGAAAGACGGATGGACGGACAGACAGATAGATCAGTACATGGATCGACACATCGAGAGTCGAACCCGTGGCGAATGTGGTTTCCTTCTGCTCCAGGATACATACTTGGTTCGATCTCGGGTCTTCCCGCGCAGTAGAACCTTTGTATTTTCAGGCCTTACAGAGGAGTGTAAGGGTTTAGTTTCCCGGTGCAAGTTTTCAGGCGTCAGGATTTAGGGTTGATAAGGATTGAAACTCTTTCATCGAATTTTCTCATTTTATCGAGGCCTTGATAACTAGAACAGCACCGTTCCACATCCCCCAACACCATTGCGGACCATGAAAGACAGAAGTAAGCTAGCCGAATGTAGGGGCCTTAGTAATTAGAATTGGCTTTGGGGTATAACACCATAATCATACTCAGGCACCCCCAAAAATGTTTTTGGTAATTATTTAGGCCCCTATATTACTCATTATATTCTCATCTTGCTTGCAGTTGTAATAGCTAAACAGCATCATGGCGGTGGGCAAGACGACGAGTTCTGCCGGAACCAACAGGAACATAAGAAGCAACAGAAACAAGCAACAGAAGTAAGTAAGATCGTCCGATCCGACAAGAGATCCTACTGGCGAGGCTGCAGATTCAGAGTCACGGTGCGATCTGTGCTTACTGTTGCGGGAGTGAAAAGTTTAGGGTTTCAATCCCTAAGTCCTACACCGGAAGAGGGATACAGTGTTTTCGGGCCTCAGTATACGGGACAAGTACAGCCGCTGCGTGGAGTTCCGAGTTCCTGCTTTGCCCGCAGATTTAGCATGAGCTTGAATACTCTGCAAAGGCTGATGCCTGGAAGCTTTGTTCCATCTGCACCATATATTGGAGGCGCGCCTGCCGGAGAGCAATTGCTGCTTTTGATGTCATCTACGGCTCTTCACGGAGTAGCGCTGGTACCCAGACAATCCAAAATCCCTTAATTAAGGAATATACCTTGATCCATATTTGGGATCCTATTAAAATTAAGGTATATTCCTTAATTAAGGGATTTTGGAAGGTCTGGGTACCTCTTGTCAGCAGGGCTCGGGGCCACATTCGATGTATTAGATGTCGACTGGCAGACGTTAAGCGATTGAATGACCGCTATTCTCTGTAATCTCTCAGCCTCTTTCCAGTCATTGCATAGGCACAGAACACGATCATGTTACAAATCCCAAAAAATCCTGCAGTGCCTGATGCTTTCTCAAAAAAACAAGGCCCGAGACACTAAGAATGCAAATCTCGAAGACCGCAAGCACTAGAATCAACCCTAACCAGCACATGATCTAAACCTTGATGCCCCATAGGGGCCTAGATCTTTCAAACCTCAAACTCTGAATCCTTGCACCAATTCCAAACTCTGCGGGAGGAGTCACATGGTTGCATCAAGAGGTTTTACACCGACCCATCTTTACTTAAAGGATCATGGGACTTAGTAACTAGGGTTATAATTAGGGTAACTATACTTATAACCCCAATTAAGGTACTTGTAACCTTACTTACTAAGTCCCATGATCCTCCAAGTACAGGATTCTTCATAAACCTTGCCTACCTTGCCTACCTCATGTGTCATGCAAGCCACTCGTTCTTATCAGGGCTCTGAATACGGCTCTAGTGGCTTAGCGATAAATCCCAGTGTGTCGCAATCAGGTGCCTACAGCGGCCGTGGAGAGATCGATTTTGAAGGCTTTTGTGCATCGGGAGTTTTGGGCATAGTGGCGCCGGGTTCCTGTGGCTCAGTGTTGCGGCACGTAACAACGTACACGTTCCCATAATCGATATGTGTCGGCATGAACAAATCTATCCCGCACACACAGACATATGTATGTAGCTATAGGTTAACCAGTATAGATGCTGCCAGCATGCATGGATGAATTGATGGATGTACAGATGTGCTCTACCTACATATACATATAAACAGAAAGAGAGAGAGAGAGAGAGAGAGAGAGAGAGAGCACAAACAAGACATGTGTGCACGAATGTAAGAAACACGGGCCGGTATCCGCTGGCTCTCCAGAAAACTACATATGTGCTACCTATCCCAAACTCATGAACCAACTTTTCTCCTGTTTTGAATCACGACCGTCTGCACATATTCGGACCTCTGTTGGGTCGAAAACCGAGCTGGGACGAGCGCTCTCTGGGCAGACTTGAAGGTGAATGGTTAGTTTCTACAGTTTTACAGGGCATTGTACGGTGGTATGGGTTGTTATAGCCCCTAGACCCTAAACCCTATAGATCCCTTTAAGGAACCCTATAGATCCCTTTAAGAAGCCCTTTAAGGAACCTTACTTACTAAGTCCCATGATCCTCCAAGTACAGGGTGTGATCATTTAGTTTGGGCCTGGGTGCTCCCTAGCAGGGCTGAGAGCTCCACGAAAGGGCGGCTCAACTACTAGGATACCCAGTAACCTAAGAATAAAAAGGCCTCTCTTTTTGGTATTGGGTAACTTTATAAGGAACCTAGGACTACAAAAAGGGAATAAGGGTACTACTGGGCATCCTAGACTGAGTTTAGGGTGTTCGATTTCTCAAAGTGCCCGTTCCAGCTCCACCTCACGGAGCTGCGTGTCTTGCCTGCCTGGACTTCGAACATACCTCGGGGAAACGGGCTTACGAGTTGTAGGGTTTAGAGCAAAGCCCAAACCATCCAAACCGGACAACCCCAAGCAGTTATAGCCAAAGTCTGACAACCCTTAGCCCTAAACCATACGAGAAGGCTTCAAAATGCTAAACCCCAAACCGGGAACCCTAGCACCACGAACAAGCCGAGAAACATCGCCACCCCGGCGATGAGAGCCACAAGGACGCCCCCGAGCTTCAGTGGCAGGAAAGAGCTTGGCATCCAGTTGGCCATGCTGTGCTGCGGCGTCGAGCCCTAAGCATCAGCGGGTTTAGCCTATAAGCCCCTTCGACCTAAAACAACACTATCATGTTCAAGAACCCCTTGGGGGGGGCATCAGCGGGTTTAGGGTTTTAGGCTCTTAGGGTTTAGGGTATAGGGTTTTACGGCTTAGGGTTTTAGGGTTTAGGGTTTTAGGTTCTTATAGGGTTTAGGGTTTGGGTTTGAGGGTTCAGGGAATAGGGTTCTACGGCTTAGGGTTTTAGGGTTTAACGTTTCTAACCTAGGTGGTTTCCCGGGCCCACTGTCATTAGGAGCCTGATGCGTATCTCCGACTCCGAGTCGTTGTTGCTGTAGGTTCTTGATAACTTGCTTATCGCTGCGATTGAAAAAACCGAGGATGCCTTACAGATTTCGTACAACCATGTGGCGCACAGTATATTTAAGCCCGTAACTCCTAAACCCAAATCGTTCCCTCGTCGTACAGCAGCGCCACCGTTGCAAGCAAGGGGTGCAGGCGTTAACTATTTTCATGAGAACGCCCCGTGAACCCGTTTAGGGACATGCCTTCCTGAGGCATTGAAGAACATTGAAACAAACCGTTCACGAACCAAGGAACTGGGACAGCTGCAGCCAGGCTAGCATCGTCAAGTTCCTGCGGGAGGGACCTGTTGGAGCACGGACAGCACAACATCCTACAACATCGCACCATCTTCGATTCCCTGAAAATTGACTTACTGGCACCGACGGAGTGAAAAGAGCAGTGCTTGCAATGGTAACAAAGAAACTTTCACATGAAAACTAAATATATCGACCTGACTATTAAGCACAATGACAACCATCGTCATCATCATCACCACCAGCACTGTCGTCATCATCATCATCAACAACAACAACATCCTCACGGTTATCTTCATCGTCACCACAATCGTCATCAGTATGTTCATGATCGGCACGATCATCATCATCATCGTCGTCGTCGCCCTCACCGTGATAACCATGACCGTCATCACCACCATCATCATCATCACCATCAGTGAAAGCACCATCGACAACAGACATCATGGCTGATAGCCGTTGTTGCAAGCACCGCGGCCACCACGACAGCAGCTCCAGCAACAGCGACACCAGCAAGCGCATCGGCAGCACAGCAGCATCCACAGCAACAGCCAAGCCAGTTGTGACGGAAACGGCAGCGGCAAAAACAAGAAGAAGAAGAAGAAGAAGAAACCCGACAACGGCAGCAGCAGCAGCAGCAGCAGCAGCAGCAGCAGCAGCAGCAGCAGCGGAAGCAGCACAAGCAGCAGGTGCATCAGGAGCAACAGCAAGAAGCTTAGGACTTAGGATTTAGGGCTTAGGAAACGACAGCACGACAGCCACTACGACTACACTGACGATGACAGCGACAGGGAGGAAGACGAACACGACGACTACTGATCACAGATGGCAACAATACTAACAAACCAGTCGTGTACTATGTTATGTCGCGATGAACATTTTGCTAGAGGAACTATTGGTAACAATAGTCGTGGTGGTGATGACCGCGGTAGTAATCGTGGTGGTTGTCTCCGTGCCACCGCAGCAGCAGTAGTCACAGTCGGATTCGGAGAACACCACCTCACCGTCACCACCACTACCAGCACCACCAGCACCAGCACTAGCGCCAGCATCAGCGCTGGCACCGGCACCAGCACCTCCAACAATGACAACGACACCAACGCAACAACAACAACAACAACAACGGGAAGGACAACAGTCAGGTAAACTACGACCACCGCTGCCGCAGCTGTCACCACAACAACAGCAGCAGCAACGACACTGACAACGACGACACCAGGAGCAAACGCAACGGCAAATGCAGCACTGACAGAGGCAGTCACGAGCAGTTGCAGGATCACAGTCACAGCCATAAGCAACACCACAGCAATCAAAGCCCGAAGCTTCGCACCCAATTAGAACTGCCGAGCGGCTGTTTGGGACACTTTCGTTCTAGGCAAGATTTCGCCGCAGCCAAAGACACTCCAGAATCCTGGTAGCTGTTCTCCACATAGGCCACCTTCGTAACTTAAAGCTAATCTGGGAGTGGGATTTAAGGGTGGGGCTTAACTCTAAGGCTCCATGTACCCATATAGTATATACTTAGGCCTTGAAGTACCTATATAGGCACCCCTTTGAGGCCTAAGTATCTACTATAAAGGTACATGGGGCCTTTTGGGTAAGTTAAGGTGTGTACGGGAATCTGGCCGCTTCTTTGGACCCTAAACCCTAAACCCTAACCCCCAAAAAGGAAAGGGCTTCGAAACCCCAGGCCCGAGACATTAAAGCAGAAAACTCTGACAGGAGATCCCTGATTAGGGATAGCTGTAGTAGTAGTAGTAGTAGTAGTAGTAGTAGTAGTAGTAGTAGTAGTAGTAGTAGTAGTAGTAGTAGTAGTGGTAGTAGTAGTAGTAGTAGTAGTAGCAGTAGTAGTAGGCATCTACCAATTCCTGCGGGGAGGAGGGGGCGTGCCCACGTGCAGTGTCTGATCGTGAGCATGGTAGGCAGGGCAGAGACATTGTCAAATGGTCACGGAAGCCGTCTCGGAATGCAGGTATGCGATAAGGGGCCTTCTTGATAAATCATGATCATCTACTAGGCGGTAGATCAAGATAGGGTTGCACTAGCACAACAATGCAGCCAAAAGTGCATCGGTTGCAGCGCAGTTTAGGTGGATGTTCTCGCAGCCAACGGTCTCTATCAGTCTGGCCGTTGCCCACATGCAAATGCACCAGCTGTCTCCATGATTCGCGCGAATCCGGTCATCCCATTGAAACGCGCTCTGGCCAGTGATTTCCCAAAATGTCCTCAGCCGACTGTGACAAGGTGAGGACCTGTCCCTGTAAAGCGGAACCCTGAACCCGAAACTATTCTCCAAAACCTACTATAGGGGGCCTTAGCAATTAGAATGAGGTTTTGGGGCCCATTATACTATCAATATGAAAAGGAACCTCCCAAAATAGTATAGGTATTTATTTAGGCCCCTATAAATCCTTGTAATAGTATAGCCCTTATAGACCCCCTTTAAAGAACCCCATTCTAACTATTCTCTAAACCTATGTCGAAGCTTTTGGGGCGCCATGAACGATTCGAGCTACACCCCTTCAATGCCACAGCTCTCGTTGAGTAAAGCCTGTTTAGGGGTTCCAGGTTGAAGGGTTAGGGTTTGCGGTTTAGGGTTCAGGGTTCTCTTAACTCAACATCAGGAAGCATTGGCGCAAAGAAGCCTGACCAGTTAGAAGGCTGTTCCACTGGGTTCCTCTTGATAAGTACTGTGCAACATACTCCAAAAGGCTATTCAATTATGTAAGGGCAGACCATGAAACCCTACAAGAACCCCGAAAACCGAAAAATCGGAGCCCAACACTAATTCTCGTAAACCCTATATACCTAACATTCAGGGGGACCGTCTCGATTGTTCTAAACTTCAAACCCTATAGTTATGAGGGATCTGTAGGTTCATGGCTTAGGGTTTGAAGTTTAGTGTGTAAGGTTTGAGGTCTACGGCAGAGTCTAGGGTGGAGGTCCTTCTGGCTGTATATGGGGACTCACAGCACAGGAACCGAATGGTACCGTAGCAGTTATGGTAATCCGGCATGACCGCTAGTTGGTTGCTGCGTTCCCTGGCCCTCACAAAACTCGGCATGTCAACTGCCCAGACCTTCCAAAATCCCTTAATTAAGGAATATACCTTAATTCATATTTGGGATCCTATTATAATTTAAGGTATATTCCTTAATTAAGGGATTTTGGAAGGTCTGGGTGTGTCTGCAAGGGTTTAGTACAAACACAGGCGGCTTTTAAAGGATACGAACCCCAAGACCCCACAGTCCTGCAGCTGAGATTCCCATTGCTTCCCCAAGCTAACGGCTTTCCACTGCCTGGACTTTGAAGTAACCAGGGAGAAAAAGTATAGACTTGTTTGTCATAATTGGTTCCCTTTAGGTAACAGGTCCCAAAAAAGTATTAAAGTATGGTACTCCAAAGCCCAGCTGCTGTCGAGCAAAGTCGCACACACGCGGTGCGTCGGATCGTGGTTGCACTTGAAGTCCTCGGACCAAGGGTTGCGTTAAAGCTTTCTGAGACGGTATCTGAGGCGTTTAGTGTATACCTGGACCCCAAAAGTATGTAGAATAATGGAATTTTATAGGTTTTGGGGCCATTATTTTACCTACTTTTGGGGGTCTAGGTAAGGGTTTGGACTTAGGGTTTCGGGGAATTCGGCTTGGGGCGTTGAGGCTTTCAGGCTCGGGGCGTTTAGGCGTTCTGGCTTACGGGTACGCCTGCAGAGTGCTTTGCCATACTTGGAGGATCATGGGACTTAGTAAGTAGGGTTATAAGTACCTTAATTGGGAGTATAAGTATACTTACCCCAATAATAACCCTAGTTACTAAGTCCCATGATCCTTTAAGTAGGCACCCTGATGCCTGAGGCTAGAGATTGATATGAGGGGCTGTGCTCTTCTGAAATGTCCTCCAGAGTTGTCAGAGCTACACAGCCGGATTGAGGAAGGCTGTGTAAGACCTGGACCTGTAGCCCCCGCGACGCTAATCCCAGAAACCCAAACCCTAAACCCCAAGCCCGTAAACCGCTTAAACCTTGCATGCCTTCAACTTGCCCTATGCCTCCCTTCGAGGCTGAAGCACGAGTCAACGTTCTTCGTAAGCAGCGTTTATGTTGACCCCCTTTTCTGTAGGTTCAGGTTATAAGCACTCATATAGACTCTGTCGGAACACATGTTATATTATGTTATATCATATTACATACATTATCTGTATTTGTATTTGTGATATATATATATATATATATTTAATTTATATTTATATTTACATTTATATATTATGTAACACCCCGACCCAAAAAAGTGAGTTTTGGTGTTCGGGGATCTCCATATCTGTCGCTTTCGCCGGGGCAAACAGCAATCTCTGCGGCGGCCGCGGCCAGAAATCCCATGGCGGAAAACACCTCAGCATGTCGGCTTAAAGATTTTATTCGGGCTTCCGAGTTTAGGGTTTAGGGTTTAGGGTTTAGGGTTTAGGGTTTAGGGTTTAGGTCGGGCTTCAGAGTTTAGGGCTTAGAGTTTTGAGGTTTAGGGTGTTCGAGGATGTAACGAATGTCGAGTTTTAGGGTTTGGAACACCTAACTAAGCGTTCGTGGATGTAAGGAGTGTAGGGTCACTCAAGGATTTTAAGCTTGCTACCACTGGGTGTAGGAATGTTATACCCGCAGGGCTTGCATATCTACAAGCTGACTCGGGCCGGGAAGTCGGGCCGGGAAGGCCCAACAAGACATACTTGTTGCTGTCTTTAAGTCGCCCATGGCCTTCGTTTTAAGTTTAGATACAACAGGCATGTAGGGCAGGCTTCAAAATGAAGGAAACCTCTTCAGGCACACATAATGTAGCTCTCCGAACGCAGCAACTGGGCACTGACCAAGTCGCATGGTCCTTGCAGAAGACCGGAAACCACCAACCCTAAACCCTAAACGGAAACCTAATTCAGGATCAGGAAGATCGCCTTGTTCAAGCCCCTAGGTTGCACTATGGAGCCACTAATAAAACCGTTAAACAAACGAACTGCTGAACTTACGGTTTAGGGTTGTTGGGGGTCAGGATTTTGGGGTCGAGGGCAACTTCACCTGAACTCTACTGTCGGAAACCCTGAAGAAATCTTAAACACGGACGAAAACCATGAGAAATCGCAGGATCCTTACCAACGTATAGAACCCTTCTAAAACTGTATCAAGCCTAAGCCCTGCTGAAACCTTACAAAGCCCGAAACTACAGCCCCAAAAGCCGGAAGAAATCGGAGAATCCCTAAACCCCTGAATCCCCAAGGCCCTAAGCCCTACCTGGACCCTAAGGAAGCTACCTTTTTGGGGTTCCCGATTATGATTTCCTTATACAAGTCCCTAAAACGGTAGGTTCTTGAGGGTCTAGGCACTATAAGCCGTAAATACTCTAAACCCTAAACCCTAAACCCCGTAAATACTCTAAACCCTGAGCCCTAAACCCTGCCTGCCGGTGAGCCATGGCTTAGACTTCTCCGACTTCTTTGGGGCGCGGCCGAAGCTTCGGTGGCTCGGATCCGGAGTTTTAGGGTGTAGGGTTTAGGGTTTAGGGTTTAGGATTTAGGGTTTAGGGTTTAGGGTGTAGGTTTATCTGAACCCTAAGGAACCCCTACCTTTTTAGGGTTCCTTAATATATGATTTCCTTATTATAAGTCCTCAAAAAGGAAGTTGCTTGGGGTTGAGCTAGGGTTTGTCGTTTCAGGTTTGGCTTTTAGGACTTGGGTTTTTGCGGGGTTTGGGGTGTAAGGGCGTATGGCATGGGCTCGGGGTTTCGGGTGTGGTCTAAGGATTTAGGGCTTGAGACATGTATACCCAAACCTTCAGCCCGAAGCACACATAACCCCACGCCATGTAAAGCGAAGGGTACTTAAAGGTTCATGGGACTTAGTAACTAGGGTTATAATTAGGGTAGCTATACTTATAACCCCGATCAAGGTACTTATAACCTTACTTACTAAGTCCCATGACCCTCCAAGTATAATCAAGGTTCAGCTTAGAACTGAGCGAGGAGGATGCAACTCATCTACGAGACCAAGCCGCACAAGCCCAAACCCCAAAACTCTACTAAACCGTAAACCCTAAACCCGTAAACACTCCTTGACCCAAGCCTGGTAAATGTTGTAGACGGCTTGGACTTCTTCAATGTGCTGCGGCAGGTCCTTGGTCAGGAGTGCCTCGGAAACGGCGAGAAATCGAAGCTCAAAAGACCAACCCCTAAAACCTCATTCAAGGCCTTCCTACTTGAGAAGAGGGTTTTCGGGTGTTGTGCTTTAAACCCTCAGCGATGTTGCATTGGAACTACGTCGGACAAGTCAAAGCAACGTCATAAAGCCTGCGCCTAAAGCCGAAATGCCCAACCTGAACTTCTGCTGCCAACTAGACCGACTGTCAACTAGAGCAAAAACTACACTAAGATGCCCAGTAACCTAGGAATAAACAGGGCTACCTTTTTGGCATTGGGTAACTTTATAAGGAACCTAAGACTACAAAAACGGGATAAGGGTACTACTGGGCATCCTAGTACAACTAAGGACCCACCGATTTTGACAACATCATGATCACGCCTGCCGGCAAAAGCCCTAAACCTGAACACCTAGACCCAACCCCCATACAAAACTCTCAAGTTCCAACAACTGCTGCGAAGCCGGTTTTGCAAGCAGAAAGTCCAAATGTATCCCATAGCGTGGGTTTACAAAAGGTCCCCATTATAATGACTTACACTTAACTTAATTCCTTAGCAACAACCCAATAGTTGTTGGCGCTGTGCCAAATTCTCGACCTCCCAGTCATCGAGGAAGCCTTCCTCACAGGAGTAGCTTGTCCGTGACATCGGGGGCAAACAGTGCTTGCCCTGGTCTTCCAGGGACCTTATCATCGGGTTCTTAAGGGCCCTAACTATAACTATCAGGTCCTTGGAAGCACAGGGTTAGAGCACGGCCTTAAGTTTTAGGTTTGGGCGATATTGACGAGTTGTTTCGAAGTTTTGGCAGTTTTGATTATGTTGTCAAGGCCGTTGGGATTCGGTTTAGGGTTTTGCGGCGTTCGAGCTTGCTTTGGAGTACCGTCGGAGTCTACTGAGCTGCACTCAACGTGCGACCCTCGCATTGCTTGGAGTAGCAGGAGTAGTAGGACTAGTAGTGGTAGCAGTAGTAGTAGTAGTAGTAGTAGTAGTAGTAGTAGTAGTAGTAGTCGTAGTCGTAGTAGTAGTAGTAGTAGTAGTAGTAGTAGTAGTAGTAGTAGTAGTAGTGGTAGTGCTAGTGGTAGTAGTAGCAGCAGTAGTAGTAGTAGTAGTAGCAGTAGTAGTAGTAGTAGTAGTAGTGGTAGTGCTAGTGGTAGTAGTAGTAGTAGTGATAGCAGTAGTAGTAGTAGTTGTTGTTGTTGTAGTAGCAGTTGTAGTAGCAGCAGTAGTAGCACTAGTGGTAGGGGTAGTAGTACTAGCATCAGTAGTAGTCGTCGTCATGGTAGTAGTAGTAGTAGTAGTAGTAGTAGTAGTAGTAGTAGTAGTAGTAGTAGTAGTAGTAGTAGTAGTAGTACTAGTAGTAGCAGCAGCAGTAGCAGCAGTAGCAGCAGTAGCAGCAGTAGCAGCAGTAGCAGCAGTAGCAGTAGCAGTAGCAGTAGTAGTGGTAGCAGTAGTGGTGGTAGTGGTAGCGGTGGTAGTAGTAGTAGTAGTAGTAGTAGTAGTAGAAGTAGTAGTAGTAGTAGTAGTAGTAGTAGTAGTAGTAGTAGTAGTAGTAGTAGTAGTAGCAGTAGCAGTAGCAGTAGCAGTAGCAGTAGCAGTAGCAGTAGCAGTGGTAGTAGTAGTCGTCGTCGTAATAGTCGTCGTAGTATTAGTAGTAGTAGTAGTAGTAGTAGTAGTAGTAGTAGTAGTCGTCGTCGTCATCGTCGTCCTCGTCGTCGTCGTCGTGGCGGTGGTGGTAGTAGTAATAACACATTCCTTGTCAGGGGTAAAAATCTCAAAACTTGGGCGGGTATGCTTGCCTCAGGACCTTTTGTGGTGAACTGCAGTTGCAAACATTTCACCCTCTGAAAGAAACCATGGCTTTACCAACGTGTGCATTGAAGACGTGCTGACGAACTTTAGGCGACATTATACAGACCACGCTACAAGCGCAAATAGAGGATTACGACAACAACAATACCAACAAGATTATCCTGCATGTCCTCCAGTTGCGTCTGGAATATCGAGGCTAGAACCTGGGGGTTCAGCAGGCGTCCCAAGTTGTTGGCAGTACTACGCTTCTACACTGCGTTTCATCCCATGCTATACCTGCGCCCACTCCCCCCGAAGCCTATACTATATTCAAACCACCCAGTTCTCTGTCGCAGGGCTGCGGATATCCCTACAATGGCCTCCCCTTCTCAGCGGCTTCAGCGTCCTGCTCCCCTTAGAACCAGGACTATGGAAGTTTAGGGCGAAAGGCGCCGGGTTCCATGCCCTCAAACTAATGCTAAATTCAGACTGCCCCCCGCCCCCCGCAAAAACCAATAATCAAAAAACACGACCTTTCGGCACAGGATATGCGACACCATAAAGCCAGGAATTTCGCTTGCCGCTTCGATTCTTGGAAAACTTGATGTGCAGGTGCTGCCGAAGTTTATTAGTAATGGCAATCGTAATAGTAATAGTCGTAATCGCAAAAGCACTACAAACGCCCAAGCTCTAGGGCCTTTGACCCCGCATCTGCTTTCGCTGCCGAGTTTCCGAGACATCGGCCTGCGCGTCGTCAACTGGGTCGAGATCCTTGCGCAGGGTCAGGCGCCCGCATACGAATAGTGACCACTATCACCTATCACCTATCACTACATGCTACCTACCGTACTGCTGCCACTACTACTACTACTGCTGCTGCTGCTACTACTACTACTACTACTGCTACTCCTGCTACTCCTGCTGCTGCTGCTACTGCTACTGCTACTGCTACTACTATTGCTACTCCGGCCTTGTCAAGATATCATGTATGGTGGAAAACTTCGGAGACTGGAAACTCGTCCTCGGCTTACGACGATGCTAAAGGTCCAAACCAGCAGCCCAGGACTAGTGCAGACCCTCAGAAACTAAACACAGGCGGAACTCCTCGAAAAGAAGATGCAGTGGCCACGCGTCGGTGTCGAGCAGCTTCTTCAACTCCTAGCGGCTTAGTGCACCCCATACCGATCCGAAGGAAATGCAGCAGGGATTTGTCTTTCAGCCCGGCTCCTGTCTAAACCTCATGAAATCTCGAATATGTGTTTAATGTGTTTGTACACTGTACGATTTTTTCACCGACGCTTTTGTGCCGTCTCAAAACTTCCCGCGGATGCCTACGGCTCTCGGAGGGCCCCAGAGCCCTCAGAGGGTGTGTGATGTGTGATTTCGGATGAAAGATGTGCCTGGACTCTATACAACCTGCCTTGTAAGGTTCCCAGTTATGCTTGCTTTATGTAGGTCTATAATATTATAGGTCCTTACAGAAAAGGTATCTTTTTTGTGGTTATGGAAGTGTGTTTGTGTCCTTGCTGGTTTGGAGTGTCAGGGAAGGGTTTTAGGCTCAGGGTCTCGAGGGCCTTGGGGGACAAGGCTCCAATACCCAGTAGTTCGGAGGACTGGATAAAGGGTTTAGGGTCTAGGGGTTTAGGGTTTACGGCAGGCGAACCCTAAACCCTAAACCCTAAACCCTAAACCGACACCCTTCTTTTCGGGTTCTGGTATGGGAGTGTCGGGGCTCAGAGAACCCGGAATCTCCCTTACTGCTCATGAAATTACTGGGTTGGCCTTTAAACACCCTTAAAAAAATATTTACGTAGAAGGTCCCTTATAAACCCAAGTAAGGAAAATAAAAAATGTCCCAAAATCCAACCTAGATTATGTGTGAATGCCAGGCGCCATGGCAACTTACCGATCGGAAGCTCGTAAACCTGAGACATGCCCAGACCTTCCCAAAATCCCTTAATTCAGGAATATACCTTAATTCATATTTGGGATCCTATTATAATTTAAGGTATATTCCTTAATTAAGGGATTTTGGGATCCTATTATAATTTAAGGTATATTCCTTAATTAAGGGATTTTGGAAGGTCTGGGTGTGTTTCCATTACTAGTATAGTAAAGACTCACCCCCCCCCCATGTACACGCACGCCCGACTCCATGTGGGTGGTTGTCAGAGTTAGAATCCCTTTTGGGGTACCCTAAATATTAGGTGCCGTACTATATTAGGGACCCAAAAAGGGACCCTAATTTTGACAACCACCCATGTGAGAAGCTGGAACACCAAGTCCTCCGTGTCGCCATTCGACGCCTGATAAACCGACTGGGATCTGGTCTCTGGGCGGCACTGCTTGGAGTATCATGGGACTTAGTAAGTACGGTTATAAGTACCTTAATTCGGGTTATAAGTATAGTTACCCTACTTATAACCCTAGTTACTAAGTCCCATGATCCTCTAAGTGGGGGTGCCCCAAGCCCCCGGACCCCCGGATCCACACAAGCGTAACAGAACAGGGTTTTGGGGTAGTTAGTTGGGGTATGAATTTTATTGAGGAAGAGCTTGATTCAGGTTCGTCTCAGCTCCCAATAAGTGCGCATAAAGCATTGCAGTTCTTGTAGGTGGACAAACAACCCGAACCCTTAGCAACCAAACCAAAACCGAAACAACCTCAATCCCGAAACCCAAATCCTAAACCCTGAACCGCTCAACCCGAAACCCTCTCAACGCGAAGCAAGGCCTTCAGAAAGCGAAGGCGGTTTCCATGAGCATCGCGAAGCAGGTATGCAGCACCTGCATATGGCATATCTATAGGTGTCTTAACCTCTAGCACCACGTTTTGGTGCGTATCATAGCGAAGATCTTTGTAAGGAGTTACGAATGGGATACTGGTCTGGGCTTTTAAGAAACCAGGGCGAAAAAGTATAAACTAATATTTCATTCTGGCTCCTTTAAGAAAAACGCGTTAAAGTGCGGTACTTCAAAGCCCAGTGCTAGTAACAGTTCCACCTCCCTTTTCTTACCTTTGGTTAGTAGGGAATGGAGGAATGGGCTACAATTATGACTGCTATTACTACCATTCTTCCATTCCCTACTAACCAAAGGTAATTATTAAGGCTTTTTATGTTTTGTAGGATCTTCAAGGTTCAGGGGCTGGAGCTTGCAGCCTACCCTAAGGGTCCAAGTGCCGAATAATCATAGACTCTCCAAAATCCTAACCTCGTAACTACTATCCTAAAACCGAGTACTTATATCATATCACATCATATCACACCTCATTATATCACATCATATCACGTCATAGTGCTCGTTGCTTACTTATTGGGTCCTTTGGACCCTTGGGGTTACAGAGTGCAGACCGTTTGAGGTTTGTTGGCCCGGGAGCCTGCGCTCTGGAAGTTGTGAATGAGCTTCTGGAACTAGGGTCTCGCGATCGGGTCTAGGTACTTGTTAAGGCCCCCACAGTATGTCCCCTGATCCTCTTGAAATGAGGGTTTAGGCTTTTTAGGCTATAGGGTTTAGGGATTTGGGGATAGGGTTTAGGGGTGCAGGGTTTGGAGCGGTTTAGGGTTTACGGCTTCTTGGGTGTGGGGCTTATAGGGCTTAGGGATGTCAGATCATGATCGAAAACTCTGGCACCCGCAACTTTATACCCTCAAAGACAGTAAATCCTGAACCCTGGACTCAAAAATGCTGAACTGCGCTGGAATCCTTCGAAGTTCGAAACCCTAAACTTCAGGCTCCGCAAGCCCTGAACCCGAAACCGCAAAGCCCTCGGACACTCCGACCACTCAGTTCAAGGTTAGGCTTCAGGTTGCTTCGGTTGAAGGCCTGGGCTTTGTCGCATTAAATCGCGTGAGATCCAAGACGTAGCAGGGAGCAGCGTCTGCTACCCAGACCTTCCAAAATCCCTTAATTAAGGAATATTCCTTAATTCATATTTGGGATCCTATTATAATTTAAGGTATATTCCTTAATTAAGGGATTTTGGAAGGTCTGGGTAACTCAGGGTTATGGACTTGAGATTGCGTGTTCAGACTTAGAAAGTTTGTCTTCCAGGGTTTATGCTATAGACATCTTCTTATCATCAGAAATATGGTTTGGGGGGTATTTTATGGTACGGTTTCAGAATCTCAAGGAATGACTTGTTCAATTACTCGGGCTTCTATGTTACGGGCGTCAGGGTTCAGGGCTTGAGGTCTTGGAAGTTGATTCAGTCCAGAGTCGCGCTAGTCTGAAAAGGTTCTGCTGGATAGTTCAACCCGAGGTCCTAAACCCTAAACCCGAAAGCATGCTCCTTAGCGGTATTTCCTTATATGCGGGGTCTCCGGAAATAGGGGACCCTTATACAGTACCCCAACTAGTAGGATCCTTATTATAATGACCCCCAAAGAAGGTACCCCTGATTTTCGTAAACTCCCCTGTAGGTCCAACCGTAAGCAGTTTAGGGTCCATGTAAAGCCATGACGTGGGAATGCTCTCGAAAATCGTAAGCCTGAAATCCAGAGCCCCGGAGTACAAGCCTTCTCGCCGGGCATTGATTTGCCGTGCCTTGAGGTGATTCAGCACCTCCTGCAAAGAGACCAACTGTAACGGACAAAGCAAAACTCTTAACCCCTAAACCCCCAATAACAACCCCCCATCATCAAATAAAAGGATGGAGGAGTGTTTATAGGGACTTACAAACCTTGTTCAAAGGCAGCGCTGGCGGATTGCTGTGGAACTCCAGAAAGAAGCACGAATGGCAAAACACAGCTTGTAGGCCTCTTGGTTTTTCACTGTATAGAGCCCTTTGCGAGGCCTGATAGAAAATGGAAAATTCTGCCTTCAAAGCACTATGCTTCGCGACTCTTAGCCCTGAAGCAACAAATGACGCTGCAAAAACCTCAGACAAGAACACGGGCACCGCTGATGCTATCAGATCTGCTGTCAACACTTTCAGGCCCCTAAACCCTAAACCCTAAACCTAATAAACCCCCTGGGGGCTCCAGATCGCCCAAACTAGGTACTATTACTCGGATGCCCAGTAACCTAGGAATAAAAGGGGCTCCCTTTTGGGGTATTGGGTAACTTTATAAGGAGCCTAGGACTACAAAAAGGGAATACGGGTACTACTGGGCATTAAGCCCCAAATCAATGAGGTATGGGGAACCAACATAACACAAATATCGAATAACAATGAACACAACCCTAAACCCTAAACCCTAAACCCTCAACCCTAAACCCTAAACCCTAAGCTGAATCCCCAAGGTCCCTGAAAAGACCGGCATCCAGATCCTCCGTGGAAGCCCCCCCCCAAACGTCAACTTCCCAAAACACCCAAGCCCCCAATTTAAACTACCATAACCTATTTTTTGTAAGTTCTGTTCATAAGCCCTCGTCTGGAAATGCTCGGAACCCTACAAAACAATAGGGGTTTCGCTAGTACAAGGTAAAACCCTAACATCTAAGCAAGGCCCAGCCCTTGCCTGGCCCCAGTCTTCGCTGTAAGCGATGACCTTGCATAGGCCGCTGAGGCAGCAGAAGCATTTAGGCTTCGTGGGTTCAGGAAGTGTAAGGACGATTTAGGGAGCTTAGGCTGAAGGGCTGAACCTAAACCCGAAACCTTTAGACTTAGCGATTCATGTGCTCTCCAGATCTCAGGCCAAAAGCCATAAGGTTTGGAAGTTGATTCGAACCCCAAACTCTGAACCGAACATAAAAAGCCCTATGATGCCTCAGGGTTTACGACTTTGTGTTTAGGGTCCAGGGATTTAGGGACGAAGCTTCAGGAAACTTGGAAATGCGGACTCAACTAAGACTTGTACCCCAAACCCTACAGTAAGCCATTAACGCCCCAAAGGCCCAACTATCGTACATCACGGCCGTAAAAGCCTCACTATAGACAGCCTGTAAGCCTCATAAGACTCATAAGTCATGTGACGTAACGGCCTCACAGGAAATCCACTAGGGCCCTTTTTATACCTTGACAGGAACTCCGTCGCTGGACTTTAAAGTACCCAGGGATACAATTTCATGATAGTTCCTTTGACTTGAGGAACAGGTCCAAAAACATGTCTTAACCCACAACCCTAAACCCAAAACATACTCCAGAACCCAGGTCGAGAGCCCCGGAAAACTAAGCTTCGGCGGTCGCGCCTCCCTCAGAGGCATCTCGGAAGAGGAGTTGGAGGAGTTGGTGGCATTTGACCTGGGAGGTTCAGGGTTTTGGGACTTAGTTGGAGGATCATGGGACTTAGTATGTAGGGTTTAGGGATCCTTAACAGGGATCCTTATAGGGTTCCTTAAAGGGATCTAGAGGGTTTAGGGTTTAGGGATTTACTTGGAGGATCATGGGACTTAGTAAGTAAGGTTATAAGTACCTTAATTGGGGTTATAAGTATAGTTACCCTAATTATAACCCTAGTTACTAAGTCCCATGATCCTTTAAGTAGAGTTTTGGGCTTTAGGGGTTGAGGGACTCGGGGTTTAGGGGTTTAGGCCTTACCTTATTTTAAGGTCCTTATAATAAGGATCCGATTATTTAGGGTACCATTTTAGGATCCCCTATTTTCGGAAACTCCCATATGGGCTCCTTTAAGGGTTCCTTTAAGGGGTCCTGTAAGGGCTGTAGGTTTCGCGGTTTAGGAGGGGCTTCGGAGTCTGAGGTTTTGGGACTTTTTGGCTTTCAGGGTGGTATGGCCTTTTGAGGTGTCTTTAGGTTTCCTTTATTAAGGGTTCGAGGGGAGCTTTGCCCTTTAAGTTTTCTTGAAGCTTTTCTGAAACGGTTCTAGAAGTCTAGATGGGTCTCTATGGGGTTTTAGGGTTCAGGGTTTCGGGTTCAGGGTGTGGGTCGGGACTTAACGGCTCCGTAGAGCATAAACTAGAGATAGTTTCACAAAGTTTGTCAACCAGTCTACCCACAGGCCCCAAAGTAGTTCCTTTTTGGGATTACCTTATAGGCTTCTTCCTCTGAACCTCAACAAGGAACTATATACTATGTGGCCTATGGGTACACCCTCCATTCCTCAAAGCAGAAGCTTCAAAATTAAAGGCCTGAGATCTTTCCGAGCCACGTGTTCGTCTCATTCATGGCCTCGTCGATGCGCTTTCGTGCCGCTTCTGGCCGTTTAGGGTTCAGGGCATAAGTTTTAAATGGTGGGGGGGGGCTTTGGCTTTCGACAAGTGGGCTTTATTAGCGAGATCTGAAAAGTTCTCTACGCTTTTCATACGAGGTCCCGACACCGATGAAGATAGGAAGCTGCGAGATATGATATGTACAACTGAACGAGCAGACGCTCCTGTCCAAACACCAAAATTCATCCGCTGACCATTAGAAGCCTAAACCCCGTCGACGTCATCTCAGTTTCGACAGGACTTATCCGTGATCTTGATGCGAGCTCTGGCACTCTCTGCTTGCCTTCTACTCTTGAAGCCTCGTAAGCGCTATGGGGGGGGGTGTAATCGTGCAGTTTGCTAATACATTAACTTGGGACTATATACGGGGGTATCATCCTCGATACCACATGTGCAGACTGGAGGGCTTCATTCTCGCTCGGGAGCTTGGAGTGGCGACTTTGAGTGCTCACAGTTTGGCATGCCGAAACTCCAACGTATTTATATATATATATATATATGTATATCTATATCTATATATATATATATATATGGATAGCCACACATATTTACTATACCGAATACACACTAGGCATCCTTATAGTCATCAGCATCATCATCATCATCAGCAGCATCTTCATCAAGGGTGTATTTCCATGGTCATAACAAGCTTTACAACGGTAACAGCATTAGAACAACAGCAAACATCATGATACAACAATAGAGGCAATGACACGAATAATAAAGTAAGGAACACAGGTCCGATAACAGCAACAACACTGATAATAGGAAGAACAGAATATATTACTTGTAATATGGGTCTAGCCAGTTCTAGCCCTCGGAGAACCAAAACAAACAGAGTTTTCGCTTGGACGACCCGATTGACGGGTCCTCGGTGGTTCCTCGAGAATAGAATAGGAGCAGATTTCCACAAAGATGTCCATCGAACTTCCTCTCCGAGATTCGTTTAAGACTCGAATTAGTGGTTTACGTTCGGGGTTCGATGTCCGGGCTTTCTGGTTGAAATAAACGAACCGGATTGGTAATTTGTGCAATGGCGATGAGCATGATCGGTAGGACTTCATATTCACATTCAAAAAACCCATGAATCCTCATAAAACCCTAATTATAGGCCCTAATTATACAACCCACCCCGGGTTCCAGATCGCCTGTCTTCCACTCCAACCAGAGGCGCACACGCTCTGAGGCCGTCCCACCGACGGCCCAAGCCTCCAGTTTTGGTGCTTTCGCGCTGGATTGCTTGAGGGCTTGGAGGGCTTTTGGTTGGTGGGCTCGAACATAGCGCCCATGTAGGGGCCCAAATAATTCAATGAGTTTTGATAAGGCGTTTCGGAGTCTATGAAGTCGAATGTCATCAAGACCGAAGTCTCAAGCCCTAAGCCCTCAAGCTTGAACGCCTAGCCCAAAAGGTTGAACCTCAAGCCCAAGCCCGGGGCCCACAACCTGTTGCAGAGCGCTTTCTGCGTGGGGTGTTAAAGCCGTCTAATATAGGGGCCTCAAGAATTACCAATACCAGCTTGGGGGGTCCTCATTATAATTACAGTAAAATGGGTCCCAAAACCCTGCTCTAATTATTAAGGCCCTATACTAGGGCCCCGAACTGGCAGATTCCAGGCACCTAACTTGTCGTGTGTAAACCGATATGACTCACTGGGACTTGAAGGCCCTTCGGCCCAGACGTCCCGGATTTGCAAAGTTGCAAGGTTTTCAGTTGAACTCTCACCCATGTGCCGGCGGCATCCATCTCTACACTTTTACGGTTGCTGCGGTTGGGCTCTGGCTGGCTTTGGTTTGGCTTGCTGTGAGTAGTGTATGGGTGGTCTTGGGGTGAGCATGTCTTTATACGACTTCGTGCGAACCGGTGTGCGACCTGCAGAGAACAGCCTAAACCCAGAAACCCGAAATCCGAAACATCCCTAAACAGTTATGTTCTTTTGTCTCTTCTTCGTAACGCATGGATTCCCCTGTTTCGGAGAGACCCAAGTCCAACGAAAACGACCCGAATACAAGGAAAACGACTTAACCGTTGATCCAAGCAGACCCAGTCACCCTTGTCCTTTTAGAAATAGTAGACACAGCCCTATACCTATATCCCTTAGTAGGAAGTATTCAAGAAGGTCTACTAGCCGGTCTGTTTATTCTTTTGGGGGAACCATGACTCTTAAAGGACCTGTATAAGGAAATCATAATTACCCTAAAAAGGTAGGTTCTTCAGGGTTAAGGTAAACCCTAAACACCCTAAACCCTAAATCCCTAAACCCTAAAGGACAAGGCTGGACCCAGTCCAGGAGCCTGGGCCCGGCTGCTGGAGCTTGGCGTATCGATCTCCTCCGAAACCCCGAAACCTTCACCTCCAAGCACTCAACCCTACCCAAAGGGTCCAAAGGGGTGCCTTTTTGGGTTCGTATATAGAATCCTATAAAGGGTTTTACGGTTTAGAGGTTCCGAAAATTAGGGTTACCTTAATTTGGGGGTCCTTATAATAAGGATCCTACTATTTAGGGTACTAGATCAGGGTCCCTAGAGTTCTGAAAGGGTTATATGAGGACTCCATAAAGGGGTTCTGTACAAATTCTTCCACCCTTGGGGCTAGGGGCTTTATGGGTTCGGGTTTAGGGTTCGCAGAAGGGCTTCCCTTTTCTAAAAAAGGTGTCAACGGGGTTTTGCCGCTTTTGTATAGCACGTCATTGATGCGGATCATGGGCTTTGTTAGATTCATTAGCGTGTCTTGAAAGTTTCTATTGTCTAGTTGCGCGGTTTTTTATAAAATCATCTCTATACTTAGGCGTCCCCAATTCGTAATTGCGGCAGCGCGATCAAAAAGGTTAGGAACCCCAGCAACAGCTCCGACAACATGGCATGCCAAAAGAGACAAAGCGTTAAACGATGTCTTCGATAAGCCCTGAATCCAGTGAAACCGAACAATTCCCAATTCTTGTGATTGGGAACTTAGCATACTTACACACCAAAGAGCTTCACAACGTCTATGTGGGAGTTTCCAAAAAATAGGGGACCCTTATTAAGTACCCTGAATAATAGGATCCTTCTTGTATGGACCCCCAAAAAGGTACCCCTATTTTCGGCAACTCCCATGTGCTCCTGAAGTGAGATGTGCGAGGTTCGGATGTCGTCGTCCTGCAGGCGACTTCACGGCCCCTTCAAGTCCGATATGTTTGAGTGCATCAAAGGAGAAAAGGAGGGACCCTTAATGGGGACCCCTACCCTATAATGGGCTATATCATGGGTATATAATAGCTATATATTAAGGTTTTTTTCCTAGGGGTCCTTATTCAGGGTCCCTCCTTTTACCCTTGGAGAGCAGGATTGTGGCCCTTTTGAAAGCTATGCGGCTTAAGCCGTGGCTTGGGGCAGGTTTGGCTATATCTCGTTGATTCAGAATCATGAAGCCCCGAGAGACATGACCCAGCCACAATGCAACAGCTCGCAAGAAGTGACAAGGCGACCAAGCGAGAGAGCCAGTTTGGAGGTTTAGGACTTCTACGGCGCAGGGGTCTGGGGGCGGTGCACCGTGGGGTTTAGGGCAGGGATTTCTAAGGCTTTCTAGGGTTTTCAGGGCTCAAGTTTTCGGGTTTGCTAAGGGCTATGGGGCTTGCAGGTCTTGTGCTTGTCTACCAGGTTTCGGGAAGAGAGGATTTCGGGCTTTCGGCGGGGTTCGGAGGACTTAGCGAGGAGCAGATACCAAAACAAAGGAAGACTGTTATTCTGCGTTCGGCATATCCACTTCCACGGCATACAACCAAGCATGCATCCATGACGCTTGCTTTCAGGGCAAGATTTTCACATATGCCCAGCATTTCAAGTGACACCTTTGAACCGAGATGGGTCGCAAAAGGTTTGAAAATGAGCTGGTGGCTGTCGCGGACAGGATTTCAGCCGGAACCACCCTCTGACTGATGAGGTGCTTCCGTGAGTGCTGGAGATCGGGAGCTCGCACTTCGGTTTCCCAGGACACTTTTCGCCCAACTACTTAAAGGCTCATGGGACTTAGTAAGTAGGGTTATAATTAGGGCAACTATACTTATAACCCCAATTAAGGTACTTAAAACTTGGCTTACTAAGTCCCATGATCCTCCAAGTACACGCGGTTCCCTTGGACGAGGCCATGTCTGCTTCCGGATGGACTTCTTGAGTGCAGCTTTGCTGCTTCCTCTCCGGAACAAAGTCCACCTTTCTTCCAAAGCCCACTGGGTAAGGTACGCTAGGTGAGGTTCAGATTCATCATAGAATTCCTCTAAATCAAAGGGGTTTTGGATTCTCCGGGTTCAGTTGTGGCCGATGCTGGATCGCTGTAGATCCTCTTGGCTTCCCAAAGTTTTTTAAACTGAAATACCAGGTTTACGGTTTACATGTGTACTCTAGGGGCCTAAATAATTACCAATACTAGTCTAGGGATCCTTGTCACAATAATAGTTTCATGGTCCCCAAAGCCCTATTAGGATTCTCAAAGCCCCTATATTCTAGAGCCCTACTCTAGATCTCTTATAGACCCCGTTTAAGGAACCCTTTAAAAAGGAAAGATTATAGAAGGCCCCTATCCTATATTAGGGTTTCAGGCTTGAGGATGCTGCAAGGGTTCACGGTTTTCGGGTAAAGGGTTCAGGGTTGCATTAGGGTTTAGGGTTTCGGGTTTCATGAAGCCTCTAACAGTCGTGGTTACTGTCTATGTTACACAGATAGCAAAGGTTCCATTAAAGAAAGGGTTTGGTGTGTTGAGAAAGCATCTAAACCCTAAACCCTTTCCAAGCCCCTATGAAACCCTCACGAGCATGCTTCAAAGCTCCATTATGAAACCCTTTGTAACAGCTTCAAACCTCCAAGGTGAAATGAAACCCGATGGAATCCGAAAAGAAAACTTAAAGCTCTATGCTAACTTATTGGTCCAGTATCCTAGGGGTACTAAAGGTTAAGGGATCATAATACCAACAAAAGGTTGCAGGTTACCTAGTCTACTACTACCCAGACCTTCCAAAATCTAGCAATTAATGAATAATAATATACAGAATTAGTAAGACCCCTAGTAAGATTTAACGTATATTCCTTATTCAAGGATTTTTTGGAAAGGTCTGGGTAAAGATAATATAGGAGCCTCAATAAATACCTATACTATTTTGGGGATCCTTATTATGATTCAAGTATAACGTGCCCCCAAGCCTATTCTAATTGCCCTGTAGCAAACAACCCTGGCCCTAAACCCTGAACCCTAGACCCTAAACCCTAAATCCTAAACCCTAAATCCTAAACCCTAGACCCTAGACTCTAAACCCTAAACCCTAAATCCTAAACCCTAAACCCTAAACCCAAGCTCAGAAGCTCTGTGCCTCGTGTGAGCTGTCAGCGACAAGGATGGAGGGACACCTGGCAGCTCTTCAAAGCCCTGGATTAGGGTGTTCAGGGCAATAGGACTTGGGCTTATGATCCAGATGTGAAAGGTTAGGAGTTTAGGGTTTAGGGACCTGGGGCTAGTTTTTCGATTGCTAAAGAGTTTTGGGTTCATTCTGGGACTCAAGGTTGATAGGGTTTAGGTTAGAAGCTGCCCCCACCCTGTAATAGTGACTATAAGGATTATATATTAGGGCCCTATTATATTCCTAGTATACCACTATTACAGGGTGGGGGCCCCTTCTAAGGTGTAGGGCTTAGGGTTTAAATGAGGGATAAATCCTAAAACCACTTCCGCAACAAATGAAGGCCCTAGACCCAATGAACAGCATCCTAAGCCCCAAACCCCAAGACAAAAGCAAACCTTAAACTCCTGCAACCTACCCATAGGCCCCAAAGTAGTTCCTTTTGGGATTACCTTACAGGATTCTATATATGAACCCCAAAAAGGAACTACTTTGGCGCCTAGGGTAGAGGAGACCAAGAGCCAAGTCACACATTTCGGGTTTTGGGGGTCGTGGATAGTTGAAGGGTTCAGGGCCTCAGCATGGGTTCTAGGCTTACTTAAAGGATCATGGGAGTTAGTAACTAGGGTTATAATTAGGGCAACTGTACTTATAACCCCAATTAAGGTACTTATAACCTTACTTACTAAGTCCCATGATCCTTTAAGTAGGCATTGTGCTTTTGGGCTTTAGAGCTTTACGGCTTGAGGCTTTCGGGTTTGGGGTTTCGAGTTTTGCACTTGGGTGGACTAGCGGGCTGCTTTTCACATCGTGACTTTCCATGATCTATCTGACACGACCAAAGTTACAAGAGTATGTGCGAAGCTGCAAGTGTGTCCCGGAATGATCGACATCTGCAGTGCCACTGCTTGCGACAACCTTGGAAGCCCTAAACCTGGCACGATAAGCCGGAGCTTTGACAAAGGCTCAAACCCTCTGACAAGCTCCCTCCACTCAAGAAACTCACTTCCAGCAAGAACCGGCAAAGCCGTCTGTAGTAGTAGGTTCTAAGCTCTGGGATGTAGAACTTAAGCTTAAGGCTGAGTAACAAATTATGAGAACTTCGTTGCAAGACTCTCATTTTAGAAGCACATACACGCTATGTATGTATATATGTATGCAGTATGTATGTATGTGTACATGTATACATATACACATATATACCTATATATATATATACATATAAATGTATACACCCTGTGTAAATGTACAGGCATGCCCCCCACATCCATACAGCACTCTTGTCATGAACGATGCTCTGAATGACTAGCGGCTTCGTGCATCCTCTCGGAAACCAGCTCTCAGCCCTAAGGCTCTGCAATGTGCACTGACTTTCTATACTACCGCCGAACGAACCCGGACGCACAGGAATTAACAACGCGCTCGGTAGGGTACCACTCTTCATGATCACGGCCTGTCTGAAACTCAGTTCTGAGCAGTGGCCTTAGGATATGCCCCAAAAGGCAAACACCCCAAACTCAAACTCCTTGAATGCAGAAGACGCGATGATGACTTGCCATGTGACGTGACGACATCGAACTGCGACGCAAACTCGTCGCAGTCGGCCCAAACCTCCGTCTACGGGATTACTGGAATCCGAAGTTGCAGAGTCTTTGGAGTACTGGCAACAACTGCAACGACCTCAATACTGGAAAGGTACGAAGAACGAGACTCTCGTGGCGATGTGGCAACAGTAAGTGCAGCGACGAGACATCGGCCATCACAACAAAAACAAACATACGTCTGATAACGATGATAGTATGATTCGGTATTTGCAACCACGAAGCAAAATGATCCAGGAACCACCGTTTCCAGCAAGTGCACCAAGAACCATGGCCGACAGCATCCACAACCGCAGCAACAACAACGTCAACATCCTCAATAACATCAACAGGAGCAACAGCAGCAGTGGTATCAGTCATGCTGAACAACTACCAATAATACTCTGATTACTGGTGCTACCACGACCACCGCCACCCCGCTTCACCAGTACCAGGGCCAGCAATACTATAGTAAAAGTAACAGTAGGAGTAGCAGTAGCGCTGGCGGTAGCAGTAGCCGCAGTCGTAACAGTAGTCGTAGCTGCAGCAGTACCAGTAGCAGTAGCCGTAGCAGTAGCGGTAGCGGTGGCAGTAGCAGCAGCAGCAGTTGCAGGCGCAGTTGCAGGCGCAGGCGCAGGAGCGGAGCAGAAGCAAAGCAGCAGCAGCAGCAGCAGCAGCAGTAGCAGCAGCCTTAGCATTAGCATCAGCATTATCAGCAGCAGCAATATCAGTAGCAATAGCAGTAGCCGTCAGCAGATTGTTGCAGCAGAACAGGTGGTAATGCCAGTATAACGTTGGGCCGTAGTTGTGCGTACATGGTTAGGGGCAGGTTTTGGTGCTGCTGCTTGTCAAAAGTGCGTTCGAAGGCTCTTTCACCCTCACATCTGCATTCTCTTATGTCCGCAGACAGGTTCAAGACCTAGGACATTGCTGTATAAGTTCTACCTACAGGTGCAAGATCTTTAACTGAACTTCAAGTTTGTATCTCGTGCTGCTTGAGGATATGCCTGTCGGTCCCATCACACGTCGAACATCTGATGTGCTGGCCGAGTCTCCAGTTGGTAGTATTTTGCCTCCGTGGCGCAGGATCAAAACAACAGCAGCACTCGTGTGAATCGAGAAACAGCGACCCAGCAAAAGCGGTTGAGCAAGAAGCCTGTGAAAAATCAGGAGACCAGTTTTGAACTCCATACTTCGCAACCGCATCAAAGGAATCTGGGCACCTAGTATTTTGGCACCTCTAAGATTCAGGGTCTCCGTGCTTCAAGATCTCGGCTTTTAACCAATCCAGTTCGAACTCGATTCTGGAAGCTTAAATGCCCGTTGTCGCCACCACGGGTGAATTGGGTTGCGAAAAGATACATTGCAATCGTTTACATTCCAATCCGGTAGCTTCTCACGGCAGCGCTGCGTCAAAATTAACCCGTGCCCGTGCCTCCAATCTGCTCTCGATTTCACTGAAGAGTGCCTCACCACCTCGGGACATCCGAGCTGTTAGAATCTTCTGCTCACGCATCATGTGTGCATGCCGTAAACTACGGCCCATGTCGCAATGTAAACGCGTTTCCCAGTCTACTCTTGGCCTTCCAAGGCTGTGGACGCAAATGCGACACAACCCTTGTGAATTGGCCAGCTATGATGCAGCTGTGTGCGCAAACGGCATTTTGCAACACACACACGAGGCGCGGCTAGTATACCGATGACTGTCTATGCCTGCGATGCACTTGTGACTGGTCTGTTTAGGGTTTAGGGTGAACTGATGCACCAAGCAGCAAGAACCGTAAGTGCGTTTGAACAACTCGCGGCCCTCCGCTGGCAATTCGCACAAGTTCCTATCACAGATGACGGCATGCAGTGCTGCTTTGCATGCAGTGGAATTTTGACAATTGCACTCCAATCTTGTTGGACGTGGAAGGACATCTGCACATCGGATCCAACCGTTCGGAGCTTGCATGCAGCTAGGTTCTCCAAATGCCTAAATCCCAAACAGCGATTGCTCTCCCGTCAGGCTTGTGTGGCACTGCATACCAAAGCTCGGGGTTTAGAATTTAGGGTTTCAGGGTGTAGGGTCTAGGATCGAACATAGTGGCAGTGCGAGCTCTCTTTCGCAATGGGCACATGTTCAAACACATAACATGTGCTTGCGTTTACTCACAAAACGAACACTACGCGATACCGACCTGCAACTCGTCGAGTCAGATCGCCAAAGAAAGATCGCTCAAACTTCCTTTCACCCTCCGAGCCTGCTGAATCGAAACACTTTGCCCCGGTCCGGTCCACCCTAATACTTAAACTGTGACCTACATCAACATGCTCTCAACCTTCTACCGAATCCACGTGCTGCTTCCGGAATGCCAACCATCGTAGAATCGCAGTTGTCTAAACAGAGGCCTGATACAGCAGGCACCACATACACCTCTGCAGCCAACACCAGAACTCAAAAATCAAACCACCCACCAAGGCCCCGAAACACTCGGGCCGGCCAAAAAATCGGCAGAGGAACCACTAAACTTGCCCTAAAACCTAAGCCGGGCCTTAGATACGGAAGCGAAATCTTTAATTACCCTGTGTGCACACACCCACAACTTTCCCTCCGGCCAAGTGGCCGGCTGCAACAGCGAGAGCTCTGCCGAAACCCCAAATGCCAAACGCTCCGAACAACGAAACTCTTAACCCTAAGATCACGAATCCTGCGCCTAGCAAATGCTAGAGCCCTACAAAGCCCTACCCTAAACCCGTAAACCTTAGAAGCTGCCCCCACCCTGTAATAGTGACTATAAGGACGATATTAGGGCCCTACTATATTGCAACTATTACAGGGTGGGGGCCCTTCTAACGTAAACCCTAAACCCTACTACACGACGAGCAGACTTCTGAGAAACGAGCGCGCCCGGGCCTTGGATTCCTTCTTGAACGGTGGCACATCTATACTGAACTTAGAACCCTAGCAAAAATTGGATTTGTTGCTGTTTCTTAGGGGTTATAATAACCAAAAATTAAACATTATTTCTAAGTGCACCTAAGACATTATTGAAGAATCGTGGTTACTGTTGGTCTGCGGTACCAGTAGGAGTGCTGAAGGATCACATAAGAATACGATACGGTTACTCACAAAGCTTTTAAGGCTTTAGAGCTGGAGGGTTTTGGGGCTTGGGGGTTAGGGTCTTCGAGTAGTTAAGGGTGTAATTGTTGTGGGTGTCTGGTCGCCTGTCCATGTACGCATATAGATCATAAAGTACGTAGTTTGGCCCCGAAGTATATACCGCACAGGTACATGAACATTTGAAAACATTGCCATTTGGAAACAGAATGTGCCACGTAACCGCATCTCACGCGTGCGAGGTAAGCCCTGTAAACTCTACACCCTCAATCCTAAGCCCTAAACCCTGAAACCCTAAAGCCCTACCAAGAAACTCTAAAGCCGAATCCCGGAACCCTACGCCCTAGACCTTGAACCTGCATGGGGGCGCGGGCTTAAGTGGCCCTCAGCCCTAAGCTCTGCGCCTTCCTTTCAATTCCCAAGCTGCCCAAGGTCTACCGAATGTACTGTCACAAGTATCTCAACATCCAAGACACGAGACCCGAAAGAGAGCCCCGTACCCTTCAGGAATGGCGTTTCTCTAATGGTCAGGATGGGGTCTCAAATTCCATCACAGTAGCAAAGAACTATACGTAACTATACGTAAATTTAGGGAGCGTAGGGAGCCACCCTTGCTAGAGCGTTTTTGGGAGCCTCTATTGCGAGGAGCTCAACTACAGTACGGGTAAAAGCTCAGGGTTTGGGGTTTAGGGTTGAGGGCTTCGGACCATTTCATTCAAGAAGAGCTGTGGATCGCAGAGCTGTAATCATCAAGATGAGCCGTTTAAATTTCATATCGGTGGCAAAGACGCACCATGATATCGAGATCAGGCCTTATCCTCGGCTTGAGGTCTGACTTATAAGTACAGGCACCCACTGAACTTACTTACTATGCATATGCATCCCTACATGAGTAGTTCCATGCAAGGTCTTCTGGGGTCTTATTGCAAGATGCGACAGGATGCGCCCCCAAACTTCACAAGCGAACCCCCACATCTTGAAGCTTGAACTAATTTGCTACAATCAGAGCAGACCTATACATACAAATGGCCATCCCGAAGCAAAGTCGAAAACCCAGGCGAAGGTCTGAGGGCTTCGGGCTGCCTAGGTTTTCAACAGTTACTGTGATGGCTTCGAGTTTTTCAGGTTTGGGGTTTAGGGTTGGCGGGTTTCTGCAGAGTCTATGATGTAGGTACAGCTTGAATGACGCCTTAATTATCATGGAACCACTCCACCTAGACACATGTTTCGCGTCCTTGGCATCCACGAGGTAGATGACCAAAGGAGCCATACGCTCCTTGCCAGCCACTTAAGATTCAAGCACGTGAGTCCGAGGGTTTAGTTTTTGCGCTTTAGGCCATCAAAGCCACAAGTACAAAGAGCAGATTACATACGAGGCTTCTGGACATTTTGAACTTTGAGTACACAAAGTCCGCAGTTCGATGCTGAACAAGATGGTGATCGCGACAACGATGCGGAATGTGGTTTTGTGGATCATGATGGCATGGTGTTGATGGTGCTGTTGGTGGTGCTGGTAGTGGTGCTGGTTGCGGTGGTTCTGGCGGTGGGGGTGCTGGTGACGGTGGCTGTGGTGGCGGTGGTGGCGGTGACGATGGTGGGATCATGACTAGATGAGGATAGAACATGTTGTCATCACCTGAATGCTACACCCTGAACATTGTACTATTGAGGTGGGAATAGGTAGTATATTCTTAAATGGATCCCCTCTTAGTCACCATGGGATACCCCAAAGCCCCGCTCCAATCATGGAAGTCTTTGCTACAAAACCCTCTGAAGCCCGATTTAAATCAACCCCTACAAAACTCTATAAGCCACACCCCAAAAAACCCAGTAAACCAATATCTATGGAAAAAGCATAAAGCCGTCCGTTCTACTTTTTGCTGAGGCCCCCACTAGGTACGTCCAGCTGTTGTCCGGAGAGATCTCTGCAAGCACGGCGGGCCTTCGGCTTAGGGTTTAGGGTTTAGGGTGTACATGACTAGTAGCTAGTCAAATTTTCTTACAGCCTTCGTAAAGTTTCTACAGATCTATTTATGAGGTTCTTTGAGGTTTACCAGGACTTACAGTATCTAAGGCATTGATATATGAGGTTCCTGAGAGGAGTGCGCGGGTGGATCAGCTTCGGGGCTTGGGGACTGGGCCGCTAGCAAGCCGAAACGCGAACCCCCGATCCAAATTCAATATACAAGAAGCCGGATGAGCTTGATTCTGGAACAGCATTTTCAAGACGCATATATTCTTATCATTATTCTTATTACTACATTGTCACATACATATATATATATATATATATACATAATACATGTATACGTATATATATATATATATACATATATATATATATATATATACATGTATGTATGCATGCATTTATGCAGGTATATATGTATGTGTGGTCCAAGAAAGGCTGCGTGTTAACATACACGGATGTTATCATCATTCTCGTCGCATGCGTACAAGCAAGTTTATGCATCTCCGCGGCCTTTTTTCGGTCACCATTTTTCTTCTGTTCATCGACTCGCACCGCGAGGTTGATTTCACGAATTTCATTTCAAGCGGCATGTGGTGTCGACCGTTGTAGCACGAAACGCGAAGGACGCCCAACCAAGCATCAACCCAGACAAAAAATCAAGCATAATCTCTACCCAGAATCCTTCAGCCCTGAACACGCAACCCCAAGCACAGTCGGCACAGTACAGTTGCCTCCCATCTCCCCAAGCCCCCAGACTCGATACAGTACAGCCGTGTAAGGCCCTCCAATCCTGTGGGTGGTTGTCAAAATTAGGGTCCCTTTTTGGGTCCTTATTATAATACGGCACCTAACAGTTAGGGTACCCAGAAAGGGAGCATAACTTTGACAACCACCCATGTAACACAAGGAACCTGAGTAAGAAACCCTGGGTCTCTGATAGGGTACATTATGCCAGTGCCAATACATTGGGGTCGTATAGAGCCAGGGTTACTTTATCGGGTTCTTACATTAAACTCCTACAATCCAGCACAAAATCAATAGTGTCGGGGCCTTAATGATTAGAATGGGGTTTGGGGTGTAGTACATTATACTATAGTTACAATAAGGAGCCCCCCCAAACCATATTCCAAATTTTTCAGGCCCTTAGACTAAATCATTATAATAGCCCTTACAGTAGCCCGTATAGACCCCTTTAAAGGAACCCTAAGTTATTAAAACATAGTCTAGCTATTAAGGCCCCAAACCAAATAGTCCGCACAGTCAGATCCCAGCCTCTGAAGCAGAAGCCACTCAAACAAACGGCCCTGGCGGCTGCAAGCGCTTAGGGTTTGGGCTTAGGGCCCACAGCGTGGGAAGTCTGAGGGCCTAGAGCGTGGGGAGTCTGGTGGCTTCGTGAGAAAGGAAGGACAATAATGGGACATTATTGCTGATTCTTCCGACACCTATCTTGCCTCTCTGCAATTCAAGATGCCTCCGCCGAACTTTGAGTCCAGGGCCTTAAACAAAGCCTGGAAAACCCTTGTGGAAGCCAAAAAATGACCCTTGTCCAGCAGTCCCTGCACACCAAGTTTATAATCCTGCGAAGAGTGAAGCGAAACTGCCGCTGCACTGCACGTCCCCGTCCTTGTTCTCAAGCACCTTGCGGCAATTTGCAGAGCTTTTGGCGGCGATATATAGGGCCCTTAACAGTTAGGCTAGGGTTTTGGAATAGTGTTTACAATACTCACAAGGGGCCCTAAGAAAAATCCGTACTGCTTTAGGCTTCCATATTGCTATCCCTGCTGCCTCAGCTCTCCTTGTATCTGTGATTTCATTCCAGGAGCCATTGGTCCAGTCCATGTTCGTTAATTTTTTGAGTCTGAAACATAAGGGCCTTGACACTTAGAATATCGTTCTGGGAATCTTTTAGCTTAGTTTGGGGTGTACTTTTTCTACTTATTCCGACTTCTCGAAGAGTTTTGCATCGGGGACTGTTTTTCGTGTATGGAATTTCGGAGTGTAGAAGCTCCCTCGCGCTCACGTGCTTATTTCAGGCTGCTATACACATCACCCAGCACGTGAAGATTTAGAATGTAACTCTGGGCCAACAAGTTAAATCTGAAATGCTGCTTCTGAAGTTTCAGAGCTATAATGACAAAAAACTGAGAATTATGTCTAAGTGCCCCTCAGAGCATACAAGGAGTACCTGCTTTCGAGTTTCAAGTCTCACAGGGCGCAACGCCCCAACACCCCGAACCCTCAAAGGGCAAAACCTCCCTACAATCCCACGATCCCGCTCCTGATATCGGTCCTGCAACCCCAACCACGTGGATACTACTCCACAGCGAAAGCCTGAACTGTCAGCCTTTGGACAGGAAATCAACAAAGCAACAACAGATTAAACAAACCCTTGGATTCCGGACTAGGTCATAAAAAGGCAGAAAATCCAAAAGATTTGGTAAACCCTGAACCAAAACCCTACACCCTTAACACCTAAACTCTAAAACCTTGCATCCTAAACCCCACATGGCCTATACTCTGTAAATCCTAGGACACCATAAATCAAACTCCAAACCGTATATCATAAGACACAATTCCATGATGAAACCCAGCTCTAAACCCCAAGCCCTACACCCTAAACCATAAGCCTTAAGCCCTATAGATCCCTCAGAACCTCTTATGGACCCCTTTAACGGAACCCTTATAGTACTCTTGTAGATCCCTTTAAAGGAACCCTTGTAGTACTCTTGTAGATCCCTTTAAAGGAACCCTTATAGTACTCTTGTGGATCCCTTTAAAGGAACCCTTATAGTACTCTTGTGGATCCCTTTAAAGGAACCCTTATAAACACCTAAACGCCAAACCCAGCTGCCTGCGCATCCTGGGCCTCGCCGGCCACAGGCCAGAGTTGCGAAGAGCTGGGTCCCCGAAGATAGGCCCTTAACAAAGGTGGTTGTCAAAATTATGGTCCCCTTTTTGGATCCCTATGATGATACGGCACCTAATATTTAGGGTACCCAGAAAGGAACCCTCATTTTGACAACTACTCAGTTGGATTATGGAGACTATTATTGGGGATTATATAGGGACTACTATAGGGATCCTACACTTAGGATTTAGGGTTTAGGCCCCGAAGATAGGCGTTTGACAAGGGCTTACTGTCTGGTTCTTAGTAGGGAATGGGGGAATGGATCCCTATAGTAGTCCCTATATAATCCCCAATAATCGTCTCCAGGAAGATAGGCCCTGAACTTAGCCAGAGCTTGTAGTGAAGGGTTTAGGGTTGAGGGCTTATGTCCCGAAAATAGGCCCTTGACCAGGGCTTAGGGTGTAGGGGGTAAGAGGGTTTGGGCTTGGGTTGGGTTTGGGGGATTAACGGGGATTAGGTTCGGGTGTAGGGGTTTAGGAGAGATGGGGTTTACGAGTTTTAAGCTGAAGAGTTTAGGGGTTTATGGTTTAGGAGTCTAGGGTGTTAGGATATAGGGCTCACGAAAATACGCCCTTAACTTCGCTGGTCTTGATTCGGGGGCCAAATGGCCGCTGTACTTATTTTTAAGTTCAGGAACCGACCGTTTCTTAACAGCGTGCTCCGCTAGTATTGCCCGTGCCAATGCTCGCCCCAGCGTCTGCACTCCGGACACGGATATGGCAACCAGTCTAATTGGTCCCTGTGCCAGCTCCTCGGCCCATGGAACCGCAGACAGTCGCCATAGGACATGTCGACGGCGATGCCTCCGAAGCCAGAGCATCACCACCATCCATACATGGCGCAAGAGCTGTTGCACCAAGGGTCGGAGTGCCAGGCCGGCGAGCAGTGCCAGCCCCAGCGTGCGCTGCGCAAGGGGTGCAGCCACCTTTGTCATGTCCTATATAGCAGTCCTACCACGCACAACAGGCCAGGCTGCGAGCAAAAAGCTGCGGGAAGACCACTAATGCGTCCGGACCATTGTCTGCCGAAGGCCTAGGCTTGATGCTCCACACCCCGCCTCCTACCAGCAGACTCATTGTTTGGCGCACGCTCTCGGTGCAGGTGAAGTCACTGACGCCGACGCTTTCGCGCAGGCGTGAAAGAGCTAGCTCGCCGTTTAACAGCCCGCTTGGAGGTCTTAGCAGCAGGCCTTTTCACTCGAGCCGACTCACGACGTCCTTCGTGTGCGGCATGATACCTGGAGCCTCGCACCTTGATGTGGGGGGGCAAGAAGTCACCGTCGCCTTCCTCCACCAGCTCGTGGACGCAGCGAGCACAGATATGGCCGGGCCCTCCTGTCTCCTCGCTTGTCAGCCGAGATGCCCAGCACCCCGAAGCATCCAGATGATCCACACGGCGCCAGCAGAGATAGCACCCCGGCACCTCAGCCGTCACACAGGGGCGGCAGCAGATCTTGGCTGTCATGGTGCGGTGGGAGGTCATCTCATCACCATAGACGAATTTGGTGTTGCAAAAGAAGCACTGCGTCGATTTCCAGGGGCACCGGCGCATGCGCACATCCCCAGGGGGGCTGTTCCCTCTTGCTGTTCGAGAGGCACGGCTATGCCCGGCCTCGGCATGCGCTATAGCTGCCAGCTGCCGAGGCGCTGCTGAAGAAAATTCCAGTGCTGGCCTGTGCACTGCACCCTGGGCCTGCCGCGCTGGCGTGTGCCCAGTGGCTGTGGCCTTGGAACTCCAAGGAGATGTTCTGAGGCTGCACGCGAAGTCTGACCTCCTCCCGTCCTGGCAGCGTCACCTGCAGTCGCAGCCCATCCCACTCGCCAGCAGCGGCGACGCGGCCATTGAGCTCAGGGCGTTGCTGTATAGTCGCATCAGCAGCACCACACTGCCAGGGCGAGCAGGGCGGGTGCGCTCCAGGTGGTATTGCTTTCTCTCTTCGGATGACACTTCATTGTAGCCCAAGCCGCTTGGCGAAAAAGCTTGGCATCACCGCTCTTGTCAGGGTGTAGCTGCCGGGCCCGGTCAAGCCAGATCCGCCGAACGTCTTCTGGCGCTGTGGTGCTCGTGATGGTCAGCACCACGAAGGGATTCGGGCCCTCCACGTCGACGTGGCGAGCCGATGCCATGTGGGAATCGAAAACCTCAAGGGATTTTGGGTGCTCGAGCCACGTGTCATAATGATACGACTCGACGAACCTTGCTCAGTCACATGGAATCGCTCTTGAACTTGCCCGCCTTATAAGGAGTCATGCTTGCAGGAGTTACTCTTTTTTTGTGCCAAATGCAACGATGACAGTCGCAGCCTTCCAAACCGAAGCCGCTGCCCGTGCCCAGTTGCATGTCGGTCACCTGGGTACATATCAAGACACTGCAGTGCGTGAGCATCTGACGTCCCTAATTCATTCTCGCCTGCCACAAGAGCAAGCCAGGCTGTTGCAATCGAGCCGCTCCTCATGCTTGTGCCCCGGCGCGTGCCGCGGCATCCTCTGCGGCGTCCTCTGCACTGGGGCTGTTTCGATTGGAAGGTTATGCGGTAGGCGTGCCTCGACCGCTGCATGAAGTGCGGACCACGTGGTATCGCTCGCGGGCGGGAGCGCCACCAGATCTCGGCTTTCAGCAATTGCAAATCCTTCACCAAGTTTTGTACTGCTGGCTCGGCGCAGCCGAGAAGGTTCAAAAAGTACAGCATCGTGGCCAGCTCGCCCGCGACATCGTCCGGGTCATTGCTCTCCTCGCCCAGCATCAACGCCTCGGTCAGCAGCTTGCACCCGAAGCCCGGCGACCGCTGCACTTGGCTGCCGTCGAGACTCGGCCTCCAGAAGCATGCCCGCCTTGCACTGGCGGGTTGCTCCTGTCCAGCCGGGCACCACCAACTTGACCGCCCGAAGGCAGTTGCCGGTTCCTGCAGGTCGCACAGCGTGCGGGACGCTATAAGTGTCCATGTCGAGCCTGCACCGGGCATGGCCGATGTCGTGGCGTGGTACTTGTCGTGCCAGACGTCGCACCTGCACCACAGGCGAAATCAAGTCAGTGCAGTTGTTGTCGCCGGCTGAGGGCGTCGGTGCGCCCTGGGCATCGCCATGACGATGTCCAACCAGTTCCGCAGCAGCGACTCTGCCTGTTCAGACAAAGGAATCCCTCGACACGGTCCGTGCATTCATGTGGCCTGCGCGCTGCACAGCCGGTGGTAGGCGGAGCGTAGCCTCCCCCACAGAAGCTGAAGCGTCGCCGTCTCGCATCTGTGCCTGATCGGTTCATGCTGCCGTGGCAATTGTCTGACTGTTTACGATGGATGGAGCCTTCGGGTTTCAGGGTTCAGGGGTCGGGCTCCAGGGCTTCACGATTTAGCGGATCAGGGGATGTTAGGGGCTTTGGGGTTTAGGGCTTATAGGGCTTAGGGTTTAGGGGGGAGGGGGCGGGTCGCGGGGTTTAGGGGTTCCCGGTGATTGCTTTCATGTGTGCCTTGAGCACCTCCTGGAGCTGCACTCGCACCTGGCCGAACAACTCTGCGAGTTTTTGTTCGACCGCAGAGGCGGCTTTCGTCAGCCCCTCGATCCGTTCCGTCTCCCTTTCGAGCGCCCGGAGGGCGTCGTCCGACACCACACCCTTCGCCCAGACAGGCACGTTGCCTTTACCCATTAGCCCGCTGTCTTGGATGGCCCGGTCCAGGAGCTCGGCATGTGTGCGGCCGGAGTTGGTGTCCTTGTTCGCGTTGCTCTTCGCAGCCGCCCAGCCCCGATCGCCAACCAAGGTGTAGCCCTCCAAACCTTCGTGCGACGCAGGCAGAGGGATTTCGGACACAGGGATACACCGTCTCGGCTGAGCAGAACGTCGAGGTTGCATGTACCAGGGAGTTGATCTGACAGCCGACCAGTTACCGAAAAGGCTCTAAGGGTCATATACCATATACTTGCGCCCTAAAGTACCTAACTAGGGACTACATTAAGGCCAACGTATATACGTACCATATGAGCACATGGACCCTTACCTTACTTGGAGGATCATGGGACTTAGTAAGTAAGGTTATAAGTACCTCAATTGGGGTTATAAGTATAGTTACCCTAAATATAACCCTAGTTACTAAGTCCCATGATCCTTTAAGTAGGCTAACTTTCAAGAAGCACTTCCACGGGGCTGTGGCCGCGACTGTCAGCGGACAGTCACTCCGTGGTATCAAGTGTTGCTTAGGGCTTAGGGGCTTAGGGGCTTAGGGGTTAGGGTTTAGGGTTTAGGGGTTTAGGGGTTTAGGGGTTTAGGGGTTTAGGGGTTTAGGGGTTTAGGGTTTAGGGTTTAGGGTTTAGGGCTTAGGGGTTAGGGTTTTGGGCTCAGGGTTATCGATGCAAAGTGTCGGAATTATCTGTGTCCTGTAACCCCGCGGGTCCATACCCGCATATTGACGGGGGTGGTGCTCGAGGGACCATGCGCCCAAGGAATTCTGGAGGAGCTCGGCGACTTGGGTTCGTCGCCCAGGAAATAGGCCACGAGCTCTTCCTTTGTAATCTGCAACTGCGGGCTTACGCCAAGACAGCCGTGAGCCCAAACCAACATCTAAACTTGTATAACATCCGTCTAAAATCTTACAGATCATGGATCCTTTACTTCGATCCACAAGACCGCAACAAGCCAAACACCTCTAGCTACAAAACCATCCCTTCCACCAACTGGGGCTGTCACTCCAGCACATTGGCAATTTGAGGGTACAGCTTGAGTCAGGGTTTCGGGTACGTAGTACGGTTCAGGCGTTAAGGCTGATGGGTTTTCTTATATATATATATATATGCCATGTAAGTCTTTGTAATCGGCGGCGCTAATCAACTATGAATTTCGTCTTCAATCCTGACCCCTAGACCTGCCATTCAATCTGCAAGAGTTCCGACACCACCTGCATTTTCGGATTAAGGGGTCCGGATCGAGGCTTGGGTTAAGGATAGAACGCTTAGGGTTTGAGGTTTGGCGTTATCATGGCGTAGTTGGAGGGTCATGGGACATGGTAAGTAAGGTTATAAGTACCTTAAGTATAGTTACACTAATTATAACCCAAGTTACTAAGTCCCATGATCCTCCAATTAGGCTTTAGTGAGGTTGGATGTTCTGGCTCCTTTAAGACATGTCGAAACCCCAGTGCAGGAACCCGAATCCTGGATCCCCACTGGCCCAAACCCCCAAAGCATGATTCTCATTCCGGCACCTTCCAGGACCCTCCTTGTGCCTCAAGTAGGGGTATATGGCCCCAAATTAATGGGCACTTAGGGTCTAACAGAGGGTAGATGGAGGGTCTAGGTTCACAATAGCCCCGAAAACCTTGACGAGTTATGGTTTTGGACCCAACGAGCCTCAACTCTAAACACCCATCGGCAGCAGGGATCTGTCACCAACCGAGGCTTCCGGCACATGGGGCACGGTGGAGTTGGAAGTCAACGATTGTGCACCTAAGGGTTCAGGCTTCACCGTTTAACGAAGACACCGGCTCACCAGCAAACCACCGCACCATCACAACCGAAACCAACACAGCAACACATCAACACACGAACAGACCAGCGCCGCAATGCACCAACACGCCAGGGCGCAGAAATACTCCAAAACACCAGCACGCGAAGACACCACCCCTTACCTTTGGTTTGTAGGGAATGGAGGAATGGGGTACGATTATAACTACTATTACTTCCATTCGTCCATTCCCTACTAACCAAGGGTAAGAACCACGCCACCAAAACCACAGCCGCCACCACCACCACCACCACCACCACCACCACCACCACCACCACCACCACCACCACCACCACCACCACCACCACCACCACCACCACCACCCACCACCACCACCACCACCACCACCACCACCACCACCACCACCACCACCACCACCACCACCACCACCACCACCACCACCACCACCACCACCACCCAGGGGGAAGCTGCCATAACACATACTTGTAATAAGGACCCCCCGTCCCCCCCCAAAAAAAGTATAGACAATTATGTAGGCCCGTACAGTAATTACAACACAAACCTGCGGGGCTTTGGAAAGGCACTGATGACACTGTTAAAACATGGTTAAACCCTAAACCCTTACACACTAAACCCTTAAACCCTTAACCCTAAACCCTTAAACCCTAAACCTTAAACCCGCACCACAAGCAGCTACTTGACGTGGGATGCCAAGGCTCCGGCACACAAAGTGAGAAGCCTGTCTGCGGCAAGAACAACATGCCGGTTTAGGGTTTAGGGTCTTGGAAGAGTTGCACTGTATGCGAAATTCAGAAAGCCTCCTCTTTGCTCTTTGCACATCATCTATCTTATTGACCTTTTGGTCTTATGCGCCTGACTCAAAACATAGTAAATAACACAGAGAACGAACAAAACAAATACAGCCAGCAAAAAGTAAAAACTGAAACTAGTAATAAGTGACAAGACTGCAGTAGCTCTGACAGTATGGACTACGGCGCAATAGCGACAAGGATGCTTGCCTAAACATAAACCAGTATTGAAACCACGGGGGTGATGCAACGACGGATGTGCATGAAGTAGTAACTAGACAAAGCCCTAAACCCTAGATTCCCTAGACAGTTAGCCCTAAACCCTAAACGTCAAAGTTGGTCGTCCTTCCAAGCGGAAGTCACAACAGCCAACGCAACCAAAAGGATGGTTGCGAATTGCATAGGGTTTAGGGTTTAGGGTTTAGGGTATAGGGTTTAGGGGTCTAGCCTTTCGGGTTCGGGGTTTAGTAAGGGTTCAGGGCACCTGTGCAAACACGATCTCGCCGGCCAATGCTTCGGCCGTGGCCTTGCAACGGATTTTGGGACACATTCTTGAAAAGGTTTGCCTTTCACGGGCTTAGGGGCTAATATGGGTCCCAGGGTTTGGGAATCATGTGTGAGAACCGTGTGGTTGTTCCTGTTTTCTTAGGTTGTTCTTGCATGTCCTTTTTTTCTCCTATTTTACTCCTGTGTGTTGTTGTTTTACTATGTTTCTCCTATGTTTCTCTTATTTTTCTCCTATTCAGCAATTCAGCTTCCTTTCTTTCTTTTTATTTCCAATTTCCTATAAACCCTTAAGTCCTATTTAAGTCCTATTTATCTCCTATTTCTGGAAACCATGGTTTCCCGAGGCTCTAGACGTATAGCACTCCGGAGATTGACATGATACTAAGTAGCGTTCTATGCCGTGGTTCTTCTAGGACTTGCTAGTCCGGGATCCTAGGGAAGCTAAAGGTTAGCCTTTGGGATTATATGGGAGTTTCCAAAAATAGGGGACCCTAATATGGCACCCTAAATACTAGGATCCTTATTATGAGGACCCCAAATAAGGTACCCCCTATTTTCGGAAACTCCCATATGGGTGTTTGCGCCAAACCGGCGTCCAAGCAGGCATGTTGGGATAGGGGGTATGCTTCGGGGGTATGCTTGGGGGTATGCTTCAGGGGTATGCTTCGCGGTATGCTTCGCGTCCTGTTTTGGGGGGTATCTAACTCTACCGTAAGCCCTTATCAAAAATTATGATAGATAAGTTAAAGTAATATGGTCTTTTTGGGAAGACTGTTCTTGTTGGATCCAGGGTCGGGCCTAGAGCCTGCAGCCTTTGGGATGCTTTTAAACTGAAAGACCTGAAATCCGCAACCCTAAACCCAGAATCGGCCATTACGTAGCCCAGCCAAGTTGGGGGTATGCATCGGGTATGCTTTCGGGTATGCATCGCGGGCCATATAGCTTCAGGATTTTGACTTTTGTCTTAGGTCTCGCTTGGAACTCCAGCACTAGTGGTTAGTACTGGTGCTGCTAATAGTAGTACTGGTAGTACTAGTGATACTACTGCTGATGGACAAATCCTGCATGACCTTCAGAACCCTATAATATGGAATTCGTGGTATATACCTTATTACGGGTAGTGCAGGATTTGTCCATCAACCGTAATACTACTACGTAGTACTGCTAGTACAAGGACCTACTGATAATAGTCGTAGCAATAGTCGCACCAGTAGCAACAACAGCCGCAGCAGCCGTAGCAGTAGCAGTAGCAGTAGCAGTAGCAGTAGCAGTAGCAGTAGCAGTAGCAGCAGCAGCAGCAGCAGGAAGCACAAGTGTAGCAGTTCGAGCAATAGCAACGGCTACATTGCCACTACTGCAACTACTGCTACTGCTAGTGCTACCACTGACACTACTCCTACTCCTACCCCTACTCCTCATAGAAATTGACAACCGAGCACGCTTGCAATAAGCTGCTTTTAGTCAGCTTTGGACGGGGTATGCTTCAGGGGTATGCTTCGCGGTATATGCTTCGGGGGTATGCTTGAGGGCATGTTTCGCGCACGGTTCAACGTGCCTCTTATCTAAAGCTTCGAGACCCTCCTTTTTGGAAACAGCCATATAGGGGTCATGATTACTTACTTAGGTTAGATGCCTGTATCAGGCCTCGAGCCCGCGGCAACACCGGATGTGAGTTCCATCGACTGCGAAATTCCCAGCGAGTCCAATACCCCTTAATTAAGGAATATACCTTGTTACATTATAATATGAAGCCCTAATAATTTAAGCCATATTCCTTAAAAAAAGGGGTATCGAGCTCTCTGGGTTTGACTTGCAAGGCTACCGCCTCTTCCAGCGGAGAAGGATCGCTGCCATAAGCTCTCAACCAGAAAACCGTAGAAGCTTGTCGTTCATAGGCCGTGCAGGGTTTTGGGGCTTGGGGATTTTGTATGCAAGGATGTGCAAGGCAGGTTCATAAACCCAAATCCCGAAATAAACCCTAAACCCTAAGCCCCTAAACCCTAAACCCCTAAGGACATGCAGGCACTGGGCGGCCGACATCGAAAGCTTGCCTCGCTGCTGAGGCCTCCCGCGGGGAGGGCTTCATGGAGCTGCAGAGTGGCTTCAGGCTTAGATGGTCTTTTGGTTTAGGATGTACGGGGTTTGTAGTGCTTACGGTATAGGGTTTACTGCGTCGGGATTAGGGATAGAGGAGTTTGTAAGGTGTTAGAGTTTGGGGCGGTTCTGGCTGCCAACCGCAACCCGCGACCCAGAAAATCCCAACTGCTAAACTTTTTCACTCAAGCAGAGAGTGCACCAAGCAGCCGATGCAGAAGACTCGACCAAATGGCCTCGAACCTAATATTTCGGAACGTCTCCAGAATCAAAGGCCCCCAATCTCTTCACCCGGGTTTAAGGTTTAGTTTAGTGTTTCAGGATTTAGATTTAGGTTGGGATACATGTTCTTCAGCCAGGGCGCTGAGACTCGAGACCGTAATTTAATTTCAGCCGACATACCCAAAAAAGATCTCAAATCTGGGAGTTAGGATTAGGGGGAGGACCAAATCAACAATGGCAAGAATAGTCACAACATAGAAGCACACCTAAACCCTAAACCCCAATGAGCCTCAAAGCCTAAACCCTAAAAACTCTGAGCCCTAAACCGCCGAGGGGGAGCTCTTACTCTTTGCACGCCAAGATGCATTGAGGCCACCTGCCGAAGTTCAGGGGCTTCGAATGTCGAGCATGGGCTCTACAGATTCAGGGCTTAGAATTCATGGTCGAGGGTTGAGGGTTTGTTTAAAGGATCATGGGACTTAGTAAGTAAGGTTATAAGTACCTTAATTGGGGGTTATAAGTATAGTTACCCTAATTATAACCCTAGTTACTAAGTTCCATGAACCTTTAAGTGTGGGTTTAGTGTACAGGGATGAGAGATTGTGGTTCAGGGTTGATTGAATAAGGTTTTTGGGTTTAGGGTACAGGGCTTGGGGGTGTGGTACGGAACTTAGATAGTGCCTTTCTGTTGTCCAACCAACTGTATACGTAGGATCCTAAAAAGTAACCCCCCAAAGGAACTACAGGGACAGTACTGGTGATCATGGCCAAATTCGGCTAAAACCTACAGTGCTACTGCTTGCATAACGAAACTGCCTGTTCTACCAGAGACAACCTGCGCCTCGCGCATCATTGCTGCACTAAGGATCGGCAGGGCAACTCGCCCACGTGCACAGCCTGGCCTTAAACGCCACAAAAAGCTGAGGATCTCACCGCTGGGCAGAAAAGCCCCAAGAAGGAGGATTCCAGAAACCTGTGTTGTGAGACGGTTGTGTCTTCGAGAAGGCCTAAATCCGTACGCCCCAAGAGACCCAAGACTGTGAAACCCCTGTAAGGCCATACGGGGGTTTCCGAAAATAGGGGATCCTAGTATAGTGCCCAAAATAGTAGGATCCCTTTTATAAGGACCCCAAAATAAGGTACCCCTAATTTTCGGAAACTCCCATACAGAGCCCAGCTATCCGACCAGACCTTGGTCTGCAGCGCGTTCGAAGCCGCAAGCAATGGCAAAGGGACCGGGCACGCTCCTCTGCGAGGTTTTTTTTTGGGGCTCGGGTGTAGGGTATTAGCTTGGGTTCATGGTAGTTCTGAGCCCAAGAGTCCAATATATGTAAAAAGAACAGCTACGCCTGCAGGCAAGCGCAGGTATGTGGGCATCTTAGGGGCCAAGTATTCCGAGCTGTGGGGAATCGACCCCACAGTCTAGGATTCATCTGTGACTTACCCAGTATCAACGTCCGAAAGTGTGTAGCTCCGTGTAGCTATGCGGAGTAATCCTCAGCCTTAGGGATACCACCTAACGGAGAGAGCTGCTCATCCTGCTGTCAACTTTACTCCCTTCCGTCTCAAACTCTACACCACACCGGCTCTGGTCCTTAAGAGCTCGTGCAAGTCTTCCGGTCGGGTCACCTCCGCTCCTGTTGGAAATTGCCGGGGTGCGAGAGGAAGCCTGAAGCCTTTTATTCTGAGGGTTGCGGGTTTCGAGGCTTAGGGGGTACTTGGAGGGTCGGGGGACTTAGTAAGTAGGTAGTGAGTAGACTTATAAGTACCCTAAAAGGGACCCTAATTGGGGGTTATGGTACCTATAAGTCCCTAAAATAACCAGTTACTAAGTCCCCCGACCCTCCAAGTATATAGGATTGTGCCTCAGGGCCGGTTCGGGGGTTTCAGGCTTACATTTATGATCTAAGGAGCGGTGGAGGGGAGAAGCTAAATAGATGGGCAAGCAAGACACAACATGTGGGAGTTTCCGAAAACAGGGGACCCGAATTCCGATTTTCGGAAACTCCCGTGTTTCCTTCTGTGCATCTGGTTCTTAGTAGGGAATGGGGGAACTGTTTAGGGTTCCTTTGAAGGCTCCTATAAGGGATCCTATAAAGGGCAATATTTTTTTTACAGTAGTTCGCCAGCCAGCCTCACGAGCGTCGAAGCGTCCGCTAAGAAACTGCTGAATTCAGTTCAGGCCAGAAAAAAGATCAGAAATAAACAAAAGGATCTATAAGGGATCCTACATGGGGATCTATAAGGGGTCCTTCCTTGACTGCCTGGTTCTTAGAAGGGAATGGCGGAATAGGCTTAGCAATCCTGGACGTGGAGTGTATGAGCGACATTGCAATGTGAACTTTGAAGTAGGCTCCTCTGTGGAAGCGGCAGGTATTTCGACCGTGAAGCCATGTCGTTCAGCGCACTGCTGACCTGCAAGCACAAAGAAACGCACTCCGTTGCCGATATACTATACATGAGGCGTTGACAAAGGAAGTCCGGCTGCTCCGAAGAGCTCTCCGGATCCTCCCCCAACAAGCTGTCGGGACAGAAGCACACCTTGGAGCATGGATGAGTTCTAGTCTCAGCCGTTGACCGACTAGTTGCGCGCTGAGAAGCAGGCAGAGCAGACGAAGCCGGGAAGCTCACACAGCACCACAGACATGTTGCCTCCGTGTTACGTCTGTGTGGCTACCGACCTCTTGATGGAGATGACTGCAGACATACATATGAACACGCTGTCACGGCGACAACTGAGTCTCCGATTCTGTATGCTGCCATAGCAGTGCCTTAATTACTTGTGGTCGGACTGACTTGAGTCGCTCGAGTGCTAGAGTCCATGACCCACTGTATAGGTGAAACGGACTGCCTGTAATCTGGAGCTGACTGTAGCTGCACCTTCCCGTAGCTCGCCTCTGCTGGCAGGTCCCCGAACTGCTTCACGCATGCAGAGCGCTAGCAAACTGCAGGTGATTCCCCCTCATACCTTCCTCTCTATCGGGCTCTCTATTGTAGATGAGCCTGAAGACGCAGATTCGCAATAGTTATACAGTCACCTCGCCGCTTCTACAAAGTATAGCCAGGCACCACAAGACGATCTCATCTTTTCAGCACACCTTCTGCGGAATCGCGTTCCTTGGCCCGAAAAAATCAGTCGTTCGTCAGGTAACTTACCTCAGTGGTCGGGGATAGGCATTGGTCACACGCTTGACAGCATGTATGGTATGCTGAGATGGTGACGACGAGCTTTAAACACGCCTCCGGCAGGTGCTTGTACACATGAGCGTTGACCTGCGGTTACCGCCACATGATTCACTCTCCCCAAAAAACATCCATAGCTCTATTGAAGACCGAGGCTGCCGCGACAAAAATGATTTTGTCCGGGAGTGCGCACTCCCAGGCTTGACTTTGTGGACCTTGATCAAATACTCCTCCACCACATCGCTCGGTCTTACCTGCAAGCAAGCTTGACACGTCTGCCGCGAACTTCTGAAATGATGCAAGCCTCCCGACCGTTCTGACCCTGCCTTGAAGTTCGAGACTCTGGTACTCGACACGACCTCCAGGCACAATGCCGGTTCTTCTGTCCTGAGTATCTGGGGTGGTGTTTGCGCACGCAGGCGGCTATACGACGACCAAGGCTTGGGCTTCTTCCGTATACTTCGGCGCTTGTACCTGATCCGGTACACCGTCGCAATTCACGCTTCCGTTGGCGGTCCGCTCGGGGCCAGGCGGGCCCATTATCGGAATCTGCCCACACGACATTGCGGGTTCGGTTAAAATCGCAGGGGTCCGCAGGCAAGTTACGTGTGGAAACTTGGGCGGAGCAGACTAGGCTGGAAAACCCAAACAGTGTCACCAACTTGTTGCCAGGATGCTAGGTCTGTGTAGCACCAGACAGATATAAAGGCCAATCGAACATGAGCCGCTGCATACTAGTTAGACTCCATACCCCAAGACGCAAAGCTGAAACCCCAAACTTCGAGACCTAAACCTTAAATCTTAAAGAACTTAGGCTTTACCCTAAGGCCCCAAAGTAGTTCCTTTCTGGGGTTCATATATAGAACCCTATAAGGTAATCCCAGAAAGGAACTACTTTGGGGCCTATGGGTACTTCCAAAAAGTCTACACCCCGACACCCTGAACCCTGCCTTAAGCCGGAATAACCTACCTTTTTAAGGGTTTATAAAAGGAAATCATAATAAGGAACCCTAAAAAGGTAGGTTATTCCGGCTTAAGGTGAAGCCTCAAACCTTAGAAGGTCGAATTCCCGGATTAGGGCTTCCTCTCTGACACACCCAACAACCCTCTTCCGAACCCCAAGAAACCCTTCAAAAGGAGCCCTTAGGGAATCACTAAGGCCCCTATCCTAAACCTCCCTAAACCCGATAGATCCCTTATAGATCCTTTAAAGGAGCCCTTACATTTTAGAACCCTTAGTGGCGCCCCAAACCCCCCCAGTGGCGCTGACGCCTGGCTGGAGCATCTGCCGCTTCAGGAAGCTCAAGATCTGATCCTTCTTGATCACGCCCTGCTCGTGTTTGGGGATTATGGCTATAGGCGTTAATAGTCAGATAGGGCTTCCGGCATTGGGGGAGATATTCTCCTAGGCTATATTATCGGAAATCAAAACCAGAGATGCCAGCACTAGTATACGGCATATATGGCGTTGGTAAGGGCTTAGCTATAGTTTTATAAACTTATGAAGATTGAAAACTCTTCATTGGGGCTCTTCTGATCTGCACTGGAAACCGATTCTGATATCAGGGATGTTGGAGACGGTGAGTGGGTCCCGGCCACAATCCAGGAGACGAGGTTGCTGAGTTATACGAGAAAACCCCACAAGTAAAAGAAGGAAACAAGCACAATGTCCTTGCGCAACTCCCATGCGGGTACTTCTCTAAATTAGGGTCCGTCTTTAGGTCCCCCAATATACTACGGCACTCTAATTGAGAGACGTACCAATACAGAGGCCTTGGCAGCTCTAGCGTCTTCTGGAAGTTTACACATACCGCCCGCCCCCCACCCCCACTGCCTATAACAAGGCAAGGAAGGTCCAGGGCTCTACTGTGCGCCCAAGAGCAGGGGAAGCCGAGCCCAGTGATTTTGTAGTCTAAATCCTGAGAGATTCACTTTTGGCGACTGGCCGAGCTTCGTGATGAATACTTCGGAATTAAATGCGGACCCCGAGCAGCAGTAGCGGCAGGAAGAATCACATGTGCAAGCGCTAGCTTCGAGTGAGATGCCAAGCAAAGAATACTCAACACTGGCGCTGATAAGAAACAGAATAGGAAAGGAGGTGTGGCGAACGGAAAGCAAGGACTGAAACGAGTAGTAAGTTGCACTAGATTCACTAGATGTGCTCGCAGCTGTGCTTCTACAAGTGGCGCACGACAATAGCGGTGACAACAACTCAGAGCCCTGATATTTATACACCTCCGATCATACGGAGTACGATAAGGATCTTAGTCTCAAATCGTTAACTTTAACGAGTTCGAAGAGATTAACTAGGTGGGGCTTTTAAAGCCTTTGAAAAATATTAGTAAATAAGATCCTCTTAAGCCCAATAAGGGAAAATATAAAATGTCCCAAAGCCCTACCTAGTTAAGAAGAGTCTGGATCCGGCGAACCCGAAGACCTTCATCCAACCACAGCCGATAAGGCTTCGGATAATGTAAAACCCCGAACCTAAAGTAGCTGGAAAGTTGGAACAGCATTATCTTCATGCCCTGAGGGCACCAAAATGTGGGGAATCCCAGCACGAATCATCCTAAATCCGTGTTCCAACTTTCTGGGGTTCACCCTTCAAGCCCTGGGCTTGTGAATGGCAGAGACAAATCCCGCCTGAAACCCGAGCCTGATAATGCCCACTATCGAACAATTGTAGAATATAGAGGACTCATAAAATGCAGACCCTTGCAATGGCGCCAAGAACCCTTGAAGATCATAGACCTAGTCGTTAGTTGAGAACTTAACCCCGAAGCCGACATTGTCCTCTTTTAGCCACGATAGCTTTAGCCATCGTCGAAAGAGATATCTTGAGCCCGAAATCCAGCCATTGGGGATTAGGGATTACGGGGTCCGGTTTAGGAATTCAGGGATCCTTTATCGAATGCTATATTTACTGCACCGAAGACATCTGACCTTTTTTGTTGCGTCTGCTCCGGCTGTGACCCCATCGCGTGCTTTTCAGTCGGAGAGACAGTATGGTAGAAGCCCAAAAGTTGGAAACCCAATGGCCTCAATCCTTAAGAGTAATGTATAGGGGATCCCAGCACTATCGGGCCTTAATCCGGTTTCCAACTTTATGGGGTGTACTGTACAGGGTTTGAGCTGAGGGTTTAGCCTTAGGAAAGCAGCTGCTGTGCATCGTATGGAGCTTGCATGACATGGGGGTGGGAACATGTATGAGGTGGGTACTGCCCCGATACAGTCGTAGTCTAGGGCACCATTGAGAAAGGTCGTACATATCTAAAGTGGGGCGGTACCCTACTGTATGAGGCTTTTTGCGGGTGAGTTTCCCCCCACCATGCAGTCGCCCAGCCTGTCACTCTGCCAACCATTACAATTAATTAGTTACTTCTATTGCTACGTTTGCCATTGCTATTGTATTATTCCTAATACTGGTCGTTACTGTTTATAACCACAAATACTTTTACTATTAATTATTCACTGTTTTTCGGCTATGGTGTAGATGTCTGCTCCGCAGTGTTGCCCGCAGGAGACGCCTCAGCGGGGATGCACAACAGGAAGGCCAAACCACTCAAAACATTAAGATTTAGGGCATATAGGGTCAATTTTTAAGTTGGCTCAGGCGTTTTGTGGAAGTGATTCCCTGCAGCGATATCAATCCAAAGAAGACGAAGGTGCGCACACTTTTCAATTAAACGAGCTTAGAATCCATGGAAGAGAACCAGAACAAATCAGCTCGGAGATCCCTATGAATACAAACCAAAACAATACTGAACTTAGAACCCTAGCAAAAATTATAATTTTAGCTGTTTCTTAGGGAGTAAAATAACCAAAAATTAAAAATTATTTCTAAGTACCCCTGAGAAAACCCAAGAAAGCATAACAAACTTCAAACAACAAACACGAGCCGCATACCTAGACCCCCAACTACCCTCTAATGTACCCCAAATACCTACTATTAAGGGCCATTAGGGCTCCATTAAAGGGCCATTGGGGGGGTCCTGGTAGTTATCAAATCTATCATAAGCGGCAGCTTCAACTTCCCGCACCCAAGCAGTAACTCACATGGGTGGTAATCAAAATTAGGGTCCCTTTTTGGGTACCCTAAATATTAGGTGCAGTATTCTAATAGGGACCCCAAAAAGGCACCCTAATTTTGACAACCACCCACATGTTGTAGGCTTTGCCGGAGGTCGAACAAGTCGAGTAGCGCATTCACAGCAGCCCGAGAAGAAAATCGGCCCAGCTTGCCATACAACAGAGGGCTTCAGAGGTAGAGACTGCTACAAAGGAATGACAAGGAAAGATTGACATCACTACAGCCTCACTAAGGCTCCTCCCCAAAGGGTTTAGAGTTTAAGTAGCGTTTAGGGCTTCAGGGTTTCAGTCATTTAGGGCTAAGGTTTAGGGTTTGACGGTTTCGGGGTTTAGGGTGTAGGCTTACTCTCAATCCTACACGAACAGTCACTTTGCCAGGCTCCGCCAGCCGCAGACGCCCGAAACTCGGATTCCACAGATCCTGCAGGCCCTTATCTCACCCAAAACCTTCGGCTAGGGTTCAGGGTTTTGAAGGGCTGTGTGACCGAAACACCCAGCATGAAAGCTTCAAACCCTTCAGTTTGCAACCGCGGCGCATGTCTCGACACACTGACGTCGACATCCTCCCCGACATTAGCGATGCTGCTGATGGAATGCTGCAGCAAGCCTTCGCTCAGGAGTGCAAAAGGTTCCTGACCCCAATTAGAACAAGCCTATCCTAAACCCTCACCCTGAATCCTGAACCCTAGTCCCTAAGCCCTGAAACCCTAAACCCTGAATCCTCATCCCTAAACCCTAAACCCTAAAACCCTAAACGCTAAAACCCCTAATCCCCCAGACCTTCCAAAATCCTTTAATTAAGGAATATACCTTAATTCATATTTGGGATCCTATTATAATTTAAGGTATATTCCTTAATTAAGGGATTTTGGAAGGTCTGGGCCCTGCACATGCCGTCCAGGGAGCTGCGCTCTTGCTCTGTGGCATCGCGGCGCCTGCGCAAACCCTCCAGCTGCTCCTCGTGGCTCCTGCATGAACTAGGGAGTAACTACCCATAGGCCCCAAAGTAATTCCTTGTTGGGATTACCTTATGGGATTCTATATATATATATATATATATATATATATATATATATGTAAACCCCAAAAAGGAACTACTTTGGGGCCTTAGGGTAGGGTTTAGGGTTTCGGGGTTTTCCAGGTCTTCTATAGGGTTTTTTGGGGTTTAGGGGTTATTGCTTGGGGCTTGAAGCGGTTTAGGGCCAGAGATCCGGGTTGACGATTCTTAAAGGTTTGGGACTTACGCGTTTGGGTCAATGGTAGGAGGAAGTTGGAAGGTTTGGGTGTTGGACCTTAGCTACTTTGGCAGCTCAGTTTCAACTGCACGATCGTAAGTCAAATTCTCTGTCTTGCCAGGACCCATTTCAACAGCTGTACATGGACCAATGCGGATTCCCGGACCCTTGATCCTGAGTCGCAGGTTCGGTCGTCAGCAAACAGCACTCCGGCAAAGCGAAACGCTACACCGTCACGAAGGCCGATGATCCTGTCCTGGAGTTCTGCGAAGTTACGACTCAGTTCGAAACCTACAGGCTCAGAATGCCAGGTATGCAACATGTAGGATTACGGGTTCAAAGCTTTGCAAGCTGCGCCCTCAAACACAAAAGCCTGAAAACTCAGCTTTTAACAGAAATATACACACATCTAAAGCCTCTTCCAAGCAAATACACTTCTAAAGCGCACCTTCGACAAAATATGAACACCTCACATGTCTAGAACAAGTAATGACACTCCTAAGCGCCAGCTGAAACAGAACTTAACCCTACAACGTCTAGACCCTAGAGCGCTTCAGCCCAGATCGGGCCAGTTTGCAGCGAATCTCCACACCCGTTGGCCTTAAACCATCCCAGAGAAAGACTTAACGCCCCACATCGAAACATCCTAAAGCCTTGAACCCCGAAACAAAATGCAATGATTTAGAAACTTCGAAAAAACCCCTACTCTAATCAGGGGACCGGCTTAGGGTTTAGGGGTTTAGGGTTTAGGGTTGGGCCCTTATCATACTACCCTTGACCAAAACACAGAACCCCTGAAACATTCCAATTCTGATTAGAAACTTTGAAGCTAATAAGGGGGCCCTGATAATACTACCCTTAACCCCTAAACCCTAAACCCATAAACCCTAATGATTGCAGAGTCCAACTCTGCCAGTGCCGGTGCCTCAGGGCCTGTGAGCGCTCTGCACGCATGGCGTCCAGCTCCGAGGCCTTTAGGGTTTTGGGTTCAGGATTTAGGATTCAGGGGTTTATAGGGTTTGGGTTTTGGGGTTTAGGGTTTGTGGGGTTTAGGGGTTTAGGGGTTAAGGTTTTGTTAGGGCTTAGGGTTGATGGGGTTGGGGGTGCGCCTGGGTTCAAGGGTGAGGGGGATGGGGGCTTCGAGAGCTTTGTAGTGTTTCGTGGGATTTTCGGATTTTTGGGTTTTCTCTCTTCTTCAACAACCGGGCCCCAAAAAGTTCAAACTTTCCAAGAAAGAGCTAATATATATATATATATATATATATATAAGGCCAGAAAGTTTAAAGTTCCCCCGTTCACTATCTAAGTTTTAACAGGCTTCTGGAAGCATGCTATGAGGGCTCTGGATGGGACTGGGGAATGCCATCCGTGTTTTGAGCTGAGGGTTCAGGGTTGAGGTTTCAAGGTTGAGCGCTCAGGGTCCAAAACCCTAAACCTCATAACATCCGAAGCCCAAACGTGGGCTGTTTGGGACTACTTGGAGGATCATGGGAGGTAGTAAGTAAGGTTATAAGTACCTTAATTGGGGTTATAAGTATAGATACCATAATTATAACCTAGTTACTAAGTCCCATGATCCTTTAAGCAGGGCTTCTAGGGCTCCAGGTTTAGAGTTGAGTTTAAAGGTGTTGCTGGGCTTTTTTGCCGTGTTTGACGGCGATTCCTGTTTCGGGTTGAGGGTTCAGGGCTGAGGGCTTTGGGTTTGAGATTCGAAGGTTTGGGACCTAGCAGACCTTTGGATTTTAGGTTCGGGACGCACGAATCAGAAGCTGAAACTTGCAGCTCCCTTCCCCGAGGCTTAATCCCCGGAGCCACAAACCGGTACCCGAAAGCCGACAGCCCTTCACCCAGCAACTAAGCAAATTGAACTCTCCCTCGCCAAATGAACTAATCTTCTGAAATGCCAAAGCCGTTTCACACTTGAGCCGCACCTGGCTCTCTTCAGCGTCTCGCAAGCGCTGCTCGGCCTGATACTCCAACAAAAGCTAGGAGCCAATCTTGTGTTTCAGAATTTCGTTCTGGATCTCGATTTTGCGGACCCTACACCCTGAACTTAAACCCCATAACAGCATAACCCCTCGGATTCAGGCTCACGAGCCCTTGAGGGATCAAAAGGATACAGAGTGGAGGGCATTGGCCTCCTTGCGTGCCTCTGTCAATAGCCGAAGCTTCAACCGACGCGGTTTGGATTTGGGGTTTAGGGTTCAGGGTTTGGGGGCTGAGTTGTTTAGGGTTTGAAAATCCTTTAAACGGTGGATTTGCGGGTTGATAGTCAGCACGCCATAAGTACGGCTACAGTCGGTTATGGTCATAATGGCAGTTCCTATCCCCATGTATAGACGACTAACTCCCACTTAAAGGATCATAGGACTTAGTAACTCGGGTTACAAATAAGGTAAATATACTCATAAGTACTTATAACCCCAATTAGGGGACTTATAACCTTACTTACTAAGTCCCCTGATCCTCCAGACTAATTCCCATGATCTTCAAGTACCGAATGAAGCCTTCGGGTCAGGAGACAGACTCCGGTTCTAATCGCTGAAACCGAAGCCCGACCCCCAAAACCTCCCGAAATCCTCCAGGCCGCATGGCAGAACATAAACCCTAAACCCTAAACCCTAAACCCTATATCCTAAACCCTAAACCCTAAACCCTATATCCTAAACCCTAAACCCTATATCCTAAACCCTAAACATGTCATCCGAAGTTTGGAGGCTCAGGCATGGTACGACCTTGTGCACGCTGTGCATGTTGATGCTAGTCTGCCCTTGCTGAAAACCTCCAAATCCGAAGCCCTAAACCCCAAATGCCTGGACCCAACTCCGAAGTGTAAACCTTAGACCCTCAACCCGAGGCTTTTAACCCCTGAAAGAGTCTAAAGGTGCCTGAATGCATGACAAAAGCGCAGAGGTAACAGTAATACACACCCTCGATTTCGGCTCTTGTCTTGCTGGCTACCGGGCCCTCCAAGTTTGAGCTCTGCTAGCTGCTAGCTGCCCCCGCTGCGAAGACCGGAGGCCAGCAAAACTCGTCACTATGCACGATTCTTGTCGAGCATTTGCTGTACATAATCTGTTGCTTCACCTACTTGGAGGATCATGGAACTTAATAAGTAAGGTTATAAGTACCTTAATTGAGGTTATAAGTACAGTTACCCTATAATTATAACCCTAGTTACTAAGTCCCATGATCCTTAAGTAGTTCAGTTCGCAAGGGGCCTAACGTCCTCCTTAGCTACGGCTCCCCAACTAAATTTTCAAATCTCACCAAGGCTCTACAGCCCCTCCCTGGTTTGAAAAGGGCTTCTGGCTTGCAGAAGCACGCAAATTCAAGCCTATCAATGCTGAACCACACACGCACTCTAAACCTGAAAACCGTCCTAAACCCTAAACTTGAAAAAAAAAAAAACCTCCAGGAATTGAGGAACGACCTGGTGGAGGGCGCTGAGGCTGAGCTCTTCCTGCACACCCGAAGGCTCCGAGCTGCTCGCTGCTAAAGTGATAGGTAGTATTGTTAGGGAAACCTTTTAAAGGGTACCCCTTCTGAACGCTACTTCTGGCTCTCTTAAAAGGGGCCTTATTCAGAGGGTCTACATCCCCAAGGGTCCCCCTACTCCTAACTTCCAAGAGAACGAGTCGGGGGAGGGGTTGAGTTAAGGGTTTAGGATTTATAGGGCCATTTAGGACATTTAGGATTTATAGGGTTTACCCATAGGCCCCAAAGTAGTTCCTTTTTGGGATTACCTTATAGGATTCTATATATGAACCGCAAAGAGGAACTACTTTGGGGCCTTAGGGTAGTCTCAAAGCAGCCCTCAACAACAAATGCCAAGCCCAAGCCTGCTACTATCACTACGTATAACTACCCCTGACACCACAGATCGATGAGGCTGCGTCCGCAAACAGCAAAAAGCTACGCCCAGACCCTCCAAAGTCCGTTAAATAAGGAACATACCTCAATGCAAACACAACGATTCGATTTGGATCCTTCAATTTATTTTTGGAAGGTCGGGGTAGCAAATGGCTCCCCAGCCTTCGGAGTTCAGGGCGCAGGAGCGGTTTAGGGGTCCGTACGAGGCTTCAATCAGACTTCAAGGGTTTCATGGAGGCTTGCTTCTAAGTAGTTCAGGGTTGAAGGGTTTAGGGTTTAGTGTGTGTAGGTTGTTCAGGTATATGGTCGTGCAAAGCTATATCTGGCTTGGGAACTACAAGGAGGTTCCATGATTACACCTTCCCTCCCCTAGGACTCTAGGCTTAATCGTATGCTGGGCTTTGAAATAACCATGGAGAAGAAGTATGAGGATTGATTTCATGAGGTTCCTTTCTAAAAGAATGTTAAAGTATGGTACTCCGAAACGCAGTATATGGGCGGTTGTCAAAAATTATGGTCCCTTCTTGTTACCCGAAGTAATAGGTGCCGTATTATAATAATGAGCAAAATTGGGACCATAATTTTGACAACCGCCCATATATGCCTTTCAGGCTGGGGGCTTTGTCATCTGGCTTCGGGTTCAATGTAATTTCTACGCCTGGCTTTGCATGTTTCGTCGTGTCGGCTTCGGATATTGGGTCTAGGGCTTGTAGGATAGGCTTTAGGTTGTTGGGGTTAAGGGTGAGGGCCGTTCAGGCTTTGGGGGGCTAGCGCCCCCACCTCATCGCAAAAGCAACTCTCGTGAAGACTGGCCTCTAAACCCTAAACCCGTCCTGCTTCGCAACAGATTCGCACTCAGCCTCCACCCGACGTTTGTCCTCGCGAGCAGATGCTGCAGTCAAGTAGGGGTTTAGGGTTTAGGGTTTCGTCTTTGGAAAAGGGCTTTCGGTATATGAAGCGAGAACTAAACGTAACAGGAACCCCCCAGGATTGTTACTGGTACGCAATTATTGGGGCTTCTATATTAATTACCCTCAGACCCATGGAAAATCCAGGTTTCGTGGGTCAGAGGAAGCTACGGGTTTTGCATTTCATCAAAGCAAGAAGTACAGCTACAGATGTAATAGAAGAGATTACATATTCAGAAAAGAGTAGAACGATACAAAGGACTACAAAGGGGAAAATATTACTGATCATCCCGACCACTACAGCAGCTTGCGCCCAATGCGCCACTGTTTTTTCACCCGCAACAGCTGCTGTACGACCCCCTCAAAATCAAAAGTGAGGTACATAGGCTAAACCCCACACCACTTGCTCTCCGGTGCCTGCAATATAGAGCCTTTATCATTCGAACAGGGTTGGCGGGGATATATGATAGTATAATACTGATAAGGTATGGAACCCCTATACGCGTGATATAGCAGAATACTTTAGTAAGCCTAGCAACTCACGAAACCGTAGTCTCCCCAAACTCCAGACAGAAACAAAACACGAAACACCTAGCCTTCAACCCGAACAACTCTGAACCCAACAAGCCCAAAGCCCCAATCCCCGAAACACTTAAAAAACCCTGCCCAAAGCCCCAACACCTAGATCCCTGGTCTGGCACCCTTCTATAAAGCCCTTGTGACACCCATCTGCAAACCCGTATATAGTATCTTTACAGGAACCCTTAAAGGAATCTCGCACAAAAAAACTATCCACCAACACCTGAAACTCTTTAGAGTTTCAAGGGTGCCAAGGCCATAATGAAGAACCCTCAGACTCTAATAAACCTCTAACCCCTATACCTCTAAACCCTACTGAACCCATATCTTGAACCTTTAAGCCCTACGCTGCAGCGCCTGCTGCGCTGCGGCGAGCTCGGCGTGGCCCTGGGCCACTCGGCGCTTCAGGAGATCAGTCCTGGAGCTCTTGACGGAGACTCCACTTACCTTTGGTTAGTAGGGAATGGAAGAATGGTAGCAATATTAATTAGAACTGTACCCCATTCCTCCATTCCCTACTAACCGAAGGTAAGTCCAAAGTTCCGCAAGGAAGGAATAGTTAGGGGTTTAGGGTCTAGGGTCTGGGGTTTAGGGTTTGAAAACCTCAACTTCAACACACCCTAGTGTAGAAGCCTTCGTAATTACCGACATCTGATTCCTTAAGGGTTCCTCATTAGAAAATCTCTAGTATAGCATACCCCAACAACCTATTCTAAACATGACTATTCACAATATCATTTTCTAGTTATATTGTCATTAACTATTACCGCTGGTTTCTTTACTATTCAGGCCGCTAGAATACCCATCTTTCGGCCTCGCCTCTGCTGCGCAGATCTCGCTGCGGACTCCTCGGCGAGCTCGGCAGCCACCACGTGGGCCCGGGCTGCCCGCACCTGGTAAAGGATTTAGGATTTAGGGTTTCGGGTTTATGGTTTCGGGTTGAGGGTTAAGATTTCAGAAGGGACTGCCATGGGGCCTGGGTTTTTCTCCAGGATTTAGGGTTTGGGTAGACCCACCCTATGGGCTTTGTGTTATCATAAAAGGGGTCTATGCACCCTTGTAATAACCCTCAGACGAACCCTTAGAGCAACACAAAGCCTAACAAATAGACTCGTTAAGGCTGTGCTGTAGGCTTTCATTTAGATTTCCAAGAATCCTATATTGGAGGGTCTCGTTCGTGTTCGGGGTTCAACGGCATTGAAAACCCAATCCCTGCCACTTTCAACAATTTGTTGGGATCCTGAAGGGAGGGCGGTTCAAGGGGGGAGGGTACAAGGGATCCTTAGGGAACCTTAAGGAGCACTGGAGAGAACTAAAGATTAGTAGATTATCTACCCCCCTCTTGGAGTCCTCTCGGAGCCCCCTCCCACAAGGACACAAAGAGCAATGAGCTGCCTGGCACATTTTAGGGGCCTAAATAATTACCAATACTATTAGTGAGGGTTCCTTTTGTAGTTATAGTATAATGGGCTCCGAAACCCTATTCTAATAATTAAGGCCCCTGTATTACGTCCCAAAACCCTTAACCCCTATATTATAGAATCCTACTATAGATCCCTTAAAGCAGCCCTTAAACGATCCCGATTCCTCCCAGACCACGAGACGACATCAAGCACGAACGAACAGGCTTTTGTTGACCGGCTCAGGGCCCACCCAAAACAAAACCTTTCGCTCCAAAGTGAGTTGCTTTTTCAAGCGATGAACATCTGACAACCCCTAGAACTTCTGGAGCAAAACACCCATCCAAAATCAAACCCAAAAGGTTTAGGGTTTAGGGTTTCCCAGAAAGTAAGCTCCTAAGCCCTAATTAAGACTCCACAACAATCAAAAATACCAGAAAAACTCAGAAAGTGAGGTCCTAAACCCACAAAACCCAAAACTCTGCAACAAAAACACACCGATATTTAAGTGATTTCCTCCCAAACCTGAACTCCTCAACCCTAAACCCCTAAAGCCTAAACCCATAACACACCCATTTAAGTGAGTTCTTCCTAAACCCCTAAGCCCTAAACCCATAAAGCAAAAACCCCCATTTACGTGAGTTTCCGCCTCGCCCTCCAGGGCCAAGGTCTCCGAGGCAGCCTCGGACTCTGCAGCCGCGAGGCTTCGCTGCTCGGACTCCCGGGAGGCCTCCTCGGGTCTCTCGCTTTGGGCTCTTTAGGATTACTAAGTCCCATAGTAGTTCCTTTTTGGGAATACCTTCTACAAGTAGGATTCTAAATATGATTTAAAAGAAGGAACTACTATAAGGTTCCTTTAAGGGTCTCTCGCGGGAAAAGGAGGGACCCTTAATGGAGACCCCTACCCTATAACTATATCAAGGGTATATACCTAGGGGTCCTTATTAGGGGTCCCTTGCGTAGGGCTCTTTAGGGCCAAGGGTTCAGGGGTTTTGGGGTTAGGGTTTAGGGGTTTAGGGCTTAGAGGTTTAGGGGGTTTAGGGGTTTGGGCTTTGGGTCCGCCGACCCTGGCGGCGTGTTGGATGGGTTTCGATGGGCTTGGAGGTGTTAACCTCCCTTTTTCCCTCCTCCCACACCGAAATCCCGCAAACCTAGAAGGGGGGGGGGGGTACCCCATGGCTGTTTGCAAGCAGCACCCAAGCCCCCAAAAGCATCACACCACAGCCCATTGGGTTCAAATCAGTTCACTGAAGGAGACCACCTCCCCCCCTCCCCCCCCTCCCCCTTCCGCCCCCTTTACCCCCCCACCCGCCTTGCCCCCTTCTTCCTCTTCAACCTTGGCATCTCCGCTCCAAAGTGCTCCTTGTTCCTACTTCGCGTGATCGTCGCGCAGCCTCGCGTGCTTCCGCCTCTTCCCCCCGTTTTGTCTCACAATCTTAGAAGCGCACCAGCGAAGCTTGTCAACTTGAAGGTTCCCGTTTAGTCTCACAATCTTAGAAGCGCACCAGTGAAGCTTGTCGGCTTGAGGGTTTAGGACCACTGTGACTGCGAGTAGCGGCTCAAAACTGGCGCACAAAAACTGGCGCCCGTTTTTTGAGCTCGTCGCCAAGAATGTGTCTTTCTTGTTCCTTTAGGGTTTAAGGCTCAGCGGCCTTCGACAGAGGTAGCATGCGGGGAAACCAGGTTGAACTCGTGCTGCCCCTGCTTATCTTGGCGTCTCCTTCTAGAACTAAACCTTCGGGCCTCGCGGACACCAAACGACTTTGCCTGTACAAGTGCATTCGGCTTCTGGTCTGTCGCCCACGGGGTCGGCGGCTTGAGCCGGAGGCTCTTAAATCGGGCAGCGCTTCGCTGCCCTGTATGGACTGAGCTATGGCTCAGACGAATGGGCTTCGTCTGCGAAGCAGAAGCCACGACGGGTTGTGCCGCCGACCCGCCGCCGACCCCGCATCATCGGACCTCCGTTTCTCCATCGGGCCGCGCGGGCCCTGGCCCGGAGGCGTCTCGGAACGCGCACGCGCTTCGCAGCCATTCCCCACGGCATGGCGGGTTTCGGGGCCACCGTGGATGACCCCAGGAGGCGAGCTGGCGAGCATCATGAGCACTCGGGCGGCCGCAACCGGCGCCGGCGGCGCGACGTGGGCGCGAAGTCGTAACTCCCAAGTTTTTGAATGGGTTGCGGAAGCCCCCAAAGAGCGCGCATCATCAGCATCAGCGGGGTCCGGCGGACGGGGGGTGCGGGCTACATGGAGGGCCGACGAAGGCTGAAAGGGTAAGAGGAGGGGCAAACAGAAGCCGAACCCAAACTCTCACTTCGGGCTGCTCTCAGCGCTGCCCGCCCGTGGGCGCAGCCCCTAGAATCTAGGGGTTTAGGGTTTAGAGGTTTAGGGGTTTAGGGTTCTTCAGCCGGGTCCTCTAAGGGTTACTATAAAGGTGCTAAATCTGTAGTGGACTTCATAACTCGGTTGGGTTTTAGGTTATTTTTTGCTGGAGAAGCGAGGGAAGACGAGCATATAAACAATACTACCTAGACATATACAGACCTACATACATACATGCATACATAGATGCATGGGCAATTACAAACAAACAAACAAACAAACAATCATCCAAACAATGAATCAATCAATCAATCAATCAATCAAACAAACAAACAAACAAACAATCAATCAATCAATCAATCAATCCGTCAATAAATCAACCAACCATTCATGCAGGCATACATGCATACACCACAGTATATATATATATATATATATATATATGTATATATATATACACATACATACATACATACATACATACATACATACATACATACATACATACATGTATATATATATATATATATATATATAGACAAACGAACACGTACACTCATGGTTTGGGGCTGATGTGCATCTCTAATCGTAGTACATTTCCTATTTCAATTCGTGTGGCGAGTATGTTTGTAAATTCATGTTGATGCCTTTTTGGAAGGACCATTGGAAATTCAAACGAAGAACTTCAAGCCAGAACGGGAACCTATGTGACGACTGCTTCGGAGAACCAGTTCTTTTAACACTAAACCTAAACCCCATTTTTTAACAACTACCGGTAGCTATCACGGACGAACATATTTCGAGTAGAGTTCCTCTGCAGCTTCCTGGAAGTTTCTCTCTTCTTCAACAACCGGGCCCCAAAAAGTTCAAACTTTTCAAGAAAGAGCTAATATATAAGGCCAAAAAGTTTAGAGTTCCCCCGTTCACTATCTAAGTACAGCTTCCTGAACGGTTTTCCATTGAATAATCCGGGATTGTTTACGGGCCTGAACAATTAGAATAGGGTTTTGCCGGATGTTAAGTGCTAGGATAAGGGGCGCCTCAATGCACAGCCCAGACCTTCCAAAATCCCTTAATTAAGGAATATACCTTAATTCATATTTGGGATCCTATTATAATTTAAGGTATATTCCTTAATTAAGGGATTTTGGAAGGTCTGGGAGTATAGGATTCAGGATTCATGGCTTCGGGTTTTGGCGCTTGGGGTTCACTTCGGGTTTGCGATGGCTGCGGATTTGACGATTTAAGTTCAGGGATTGTTCACAGTCGGGGAATATCAAGCTTGGGGTTTAGATGGATTTTGCACTGTGGTGCCTGGAGTAGAGGGTTTCGGGGTTGGAAGGGGCCAGAAACATCATCAATTTCGGGATCTTGTCTTCGATGCATCTTCTAGCACGACAAGACGATAAAGGATGCGGAAAGAACTCGTATAGAACCCTTATAGAAGCTTCACAGAACTTTTATAGGAACCCCGATTTCCAAGGCTATAGGAGAGAGGAGTTCGAGTTTGGGCGTTCGAGTTCAGGGTTTGGGGCTCAGGTTTCGAAGTACGGGTTTAGGGTTTAGGCTTCGAACTCAGGATTTAGGGGGGGAGACTTTAGAGTTAAGGCTTGAGGGTTGCTGGCTGGCAGCACCAGAAACAGGCAAACACGGCTCCAAGAGCACTCGTCTACGAAAGTGAATAAGATCCTGCATGCAGACCCTCTTATGTAGAAACCTCGCAACCAACAAACCCCCTCAGCCTCTCACTGCCGCCAACTGTATGGTCTATCCCTGGGGATCAAAATAGCCCAGAAGCCTTACATAGTATGGTCTTTGGGCCCAAAAGCCTTAATATATGAGTCCCTAGATCCCTAAACCCTATAGATCCCTAAGAACCCTATATGAGTCCTTAGGTCCCTCGGGTATGCCTCCCCCTACCCCAACCACGGTCTTGGCCTCAATGGTCTCTGCCTGGCTGGCGAAACGCTGCTGGAGCCTGGCAACCTGGCGGGGGTTTAGGGGTTTCGGGGTTTAGAGGTTTAGGGTTTAGGGTTTAGAGGTTTAGGGTTTAGGGGTTTAGGCTTTAGGAGTTTAGGGTTTAGGAAGTTTAGGGTTTAGGTTTAGGGGTTTAGGGGTTTAGGGTTTAGGGTTTAGGGGTTTAGGGGTTTAGGGGTTTAGGGTTTAGGGGTTTAGGGTTTAGAGGTTTAGGGCGTGGGGTTTAGGGTTTAGGGGTTTAGGGTTTAAAGGTTAAGGGTTTAGGGGTTTAGGGTGCGCTTTAGAAAAAAACGACCTTCATGAGCTTGGCAAGGGTTGCCATAAGGTTTCATGCAGGTGCCTCAAAGAAGTAGGACACCCTAAGGGTCCATGTACCCAAATAGTATATACTTTGGGCCCAATGTACCTATATAGGGAGTACTTTAAGGCCGAAGTATATACTATTTGGGTACATGGACCCTTAGGGATAGAGTTTGGGGTGTATGCTTGTGTGCCCTTCTGCTTTGCAGGGCTTGTGCGCTCTTCAGGCAGGGCTTTAGTCGGAATCTCCTGCAGTCGCCAGTTACAACTTAACACAATCCTATCCCCTAAACCCGGCCCAAACCCCAAACCCTGAACCCTGCCAAAACCCTAAACCCTACACCCTGCCTAAAACCCTAAACCATGCCTAAACCCTAAACCCTGCCGGGCCTGTACCCTGAACCGGCTGCTCTGGAAACTCCATAGACACCTTGAGTCGCCTATTCAAAAAACCACATAGAAGCCCGCTGCAAGCACAATATCCTCGGCTTACCCATAGGCCCCAAAAGTAGTTCTTTTTGGGGAGTACCTGAAAGGATTCTATATATGAACCCCCCGAAAGGAACTACTTTGGGGCCTTAGGGCAGGGTTTAGGGTGCGTGGCCGTGGAGCTCAGACATTGCGAGCTCGAGGGCTCTCGGATCTGAGCTACAGAAGCAATAAGTGACCAGCGCAACACCTCGTCGTAGTTATCACAGCCACATTTCATATGGGGCCCTGAATGGGTAGAACAAGGTTGTCGAGCATACAACCCAGAACCCATAGGGACCGGAAGGGAACGTTTTTGCTAAATGCGTCGAACCCTGTATCACCTGAACCCCTGATTCGTGAAATGAGAACCCTAAACCCTAAACCCCCAGAACCCCTATACATCCCAAAAAGCACCCTTATAGACCCCTTATAGTTTGTAAAGGAACCCTAAACCCTAAGCAGTTGACATGGAGAACCTCCGAAAAGGCACCTCGGCCAAAAGCGACTGCAGCTGACTGCGAAGATGTCCGCTGGCATCCTCCCACATGGCTTCACCATAGGGTCTTGTTAGGGACGCAGGGGGTAGGGGACCCTTAGAGGGGGCTAGGGGGGAGGGGGGGTTGGGGGACTATACTTCCTTAGACAGGCGTTATTAGGTCCTGAGTATGAACATTAAGGCCCCCTACCCCCGTAAGGGTCCCCATGGCTTCAGGATGATCGGAACGCGAGCTTTACGACTTTCAGGGCCTGCGGCTTCAAACCTTCAGCTACTAGTTGTACTATAACCATTCATCGTTATTGTTTTTCGGGTAACTATATATATATATATATGTAATTGTTCATCGTTATTGTCTTTTCGGATAATTATTACGTTTGAAGCTATTCTTACTGTTCGGGTCGGAGAAGGGGGAGAGCTGTGGGGCTCAGGGGTCCGTTGGACACAACATGCATGACGGTAACTCTACCTATAGTCTCCATTGTAGTTCCTTTTTGGGGTTACTTTTTGGATCCTTAATATAAAACTGGTTAAACCAGAAAAAGGAACTACAATGGAGACTATAGGTAATCATTAAAATAGGTCTTGGGGATTATGGGGTGTCGTCGCTGGTGATGGTAGAGTGAGGGAGGAGGAGCTGGGGCAGAGAAGGAGGAATTGGTTGAGCGTTTAAAAAGGGTTCGAGGCTTCACGGTTTGGCTTTCATGGTTTAGGGTTTGGGTTTAGGGTTTAGGGTTTAGGGTTTAGGGTTTAGGGTTTAGGGTTTAGGTGTTCAGGATTTTGGTGTTCGGGGTAGAGCTCAGTCAGACATAGAGGTTAGCACCCCGGTCTCTTTTTGATCAAACCCGGAAAAGCCCCTAAACCGCCAACCCTGCCACCTAACCCTTCGAGCCTGAAGTCCCGGTAAACCCTAAACTTTCTAGGCTCTTGGAGGTCTAGGTAAACCCAAACTCCGCTAGCCCGCCAGCCGACATCCCCGTTTGGACTCTCCAAAAACCCCCGAGTTATAAACCTTAACTCCAAACTCCAAGTCAGCCGCAATGGGGTTAGGATCAGCCGCCGTTCGAAGAACTCGAAACGCCTCCACTGCTGCGGCGATGGCCGCAGCATCCGGAGGCTGTTGCGCCTGCCTTTGGCCGGGACCCAGAATGGCAAACAGCAAACTGCGCTAGGGGTCAAAGGTTGCTTATGGGCGTGGTGTATACATTTGTTAGACCTGGAATTTGGCACACCCCGTGGAGACAAACAGGCATGCTCCAACTCAGTATGTATGTGCTGTTGCGGGGGATCGAGATCAATGCGTGCTTGTCGGCCGAAGTCCTAAAACCGAAAGATCAGAACCCTGAATCACAAAAGCTGAGCTCTGAACTACAAAAACTGTGAATCCTTGAGCCCTGTGAAACTGGCTCCTAAACCCAAACTGGAAACCAACATAAATACCCTTGCACCTAACCACACCAACCCCAAAACAGCTCTTCCAACATGCGTTTATACACTATAAACCACACAAACACACAAACCCACATATATATATATATATATGTTATATGCACACACATGCATAATGTATACATACATATATATATATATATATATGTATGTCTATGCCTATGATATAAGAGATCTTCCCACCTGAGCTCCTCGGACAGACGCGCCGCGGCAGCTCGCTCGCTCTGCGCGGCTTCGGTCGCACGGCTGAGGAGCTCCTGGCAAAAGGGCATACAATCGCTCCTTTAACTAGGATGCCCAATAGCCTAGGAATAAAAAGGGCTCCTTTTTTGGTATTGGGTAACTTTATAAGGAACCTAGGACTACAAAAAGGGAATAAGGGTACTTCTGGGCATCCTAGTTAAGGGATCTATGGGGTTCAGTCTTCAAGAGATCCTTTGCGAATCTATGGGGTTAAGGGCATGGTTTTGTAAGGGTGTTAGAGGGGCTTCTCGGATTTACAAATACTTGTTACGGGATTCTTTGAAAGAAGATTGTGCAGTTTCATTCGATTTAAGCAAAGCAAGGTTCTACAAGGCATAAGGGTTTTGCAAAGCTATGACTTCGGGCTTTGGTTTGGTGATCTACTAGGCTACCCCGGGCCCGTGCATGCCACAGAGAGGGTACTGCAATAGCTGTCCCGGAAAGCCCAAAGCTCCATGATTGAGGAATCCCAAGAGGTCATTGTAAGAAGCCAGATATACTTCAAGGTATGTGGTGTCGGGCACTGTGGGGGTCTCTCGAACCCCGAAGCTCAAACCCGAAAGCATAGTTCAGGCAGAAACATCAAAAATGGAATCTATCCTTCTTCAGATCCCTTCTGCGATAGACCTTGGCTTAACTCGAAACTGGATTCCTGCCCTGTAACATCATGTAGCATGACTACCTTCTTATTCTACCTGACTGACGAAACACCAACCCCTAAATCCTTCCAGTGCTGGAACCGGGGACCTCACCCTTCAACAGAACACCTTATATCCTAAACTTGGCCACGAACTGCTGAGCAACACATGCTAGACGCCACAGAAACGTTAAACAACCTTTGCAAGACGAACTTCAAGAACCAAAGACAAGCACCTCCTGCCTCCTGATGCTCCGCCTCCTGCTGCAGCTCTGCTTTTCGCCTTGGACTCACATGAGCCGTGACATTCGGGGGTTTCAGGTACTAGGTTTGCGTATGGCTGGGGTTTAGGATTGAAAGCTTTATCCACACTGACAGCAAGCAACCATGCCGACCGAGCACCAACCATTGAGGTTAAATCCTAAACCACTATAGAGCTTTGGAGTCTCGGCGGAAGCTTCGAAGGCAGGAAGGCATGGGATTTTGGGGCTAGGGTTTAGGGGACTTAGTAAGTAAGGCTCCTCATTATAGGGTGCCTTAAAGGGGTCTATAAGGGATCTATAGGGTTTCTATAAGAGTTCTATAAGGATGATCGGTTTATAGAAGGGGTTAGAGTTTAAGAGCTTCAGGGCTTCGGGGCTTGGGTTGCGAGGCTTCGTGTGGCTAGGACTTCACCAACGCGTGCTAGGCTAGAAGCCTGCACAATTACCAGTACTACTATAGTTTACCCAAAACCTAAACCCTACTATTATGGTATAACAAACCCTAAAACCATGAAGCCGCCAATGCTAACATCTTAAACAATATACTAGAAAACCCTTGGTTCGTGTAAATGCCTCTTCTAGCCATGTGCGATAAGCCTCCATAACGGCGTGCGCGAATGTGCTGCATCGCAAGCTGAAGACTGAAGAGCAAAAGTACCGCCTTTGTCTAAAATCAGTGCTTTCATGTGGATTTTGGCCTTGCCGGGAAGCAGTGTTTTCCGGCTTGCCAAAGTGTTCTCAAAAAGCTTTGCCTCGAACATATATAAAACGTCTGCAGCAGCAGCAGCAGCAGCAGCAGCAGCAGCAGCAGCCGCACAACTACCACCAGCAGCCCTGGCAGCCAACAGCACCACTGCAACCGTAGTAAGAGCGACAGCAGCAGCAGCAGCAGCAGCAGCAACAAGACGAGCAGTCGCTGTCTTACCAAAACACAACCCCTATAAACCCTAAACCTCAAACCTCGACCCTGCAAGGCCGAACTACGCCCCAAAACCAAAACCCTCAAAACCCAAAGCCCTAAACTGATGAGCATGATCGACACACCAACGATTGGATACTGCCCCCACTCAGTAATAATTGAATAATCTTCATGATATTGATATATTAGGACCCTAGTAGTAGCCCTAGTATAGACTCTTACAGTATGGGGGCAGTACCTAAATCACTTCTTCGCGACACCCGCAAGTCCGACAGTTTCTACTAAGTACTAGAGGGGCCTCAAAAAGGCAGGGCTCGTTGGAGGGGTCCTTAAGGCTTACTAAAAGGGTTCTAAAATGTAGGGACCTTTATAATGTAGGGACCTTGATATTCAAAAATAAATTTTTGGGGTATAGTGCACCATCTCTTAATTATCATCAGCAGCCCCAGAATAACATCAATAATTACTTAGGCCCCTGTACTGCTGCAGCTTGACGCTAACACCAAACCCCCAAGCATGCAACCTCAAGCGGCAGAATTCTACATGCCCCACCCAACTCATATAACCATCCTGTCATGAAGCAAAAAACAGATTCAGAAAACATCAAGAAACCTAGATATAGCCCTGGAACTCCGCCCTCGAAGAACCCTGCATCTTACTATACAATCGTACGGATATCTGCATACATGTGTTTATATATGTATATACACATCTAAATAAAAAATGAGTAAATATAAATAAATAAATAAATAAATATATATATATATATATACTTTTCGCTATACCCCTTATAAGGGACTCCAAAGCGGATTTCGGCGCGGCCTCGTCCGCTGCGCCGAGCGCCTTCGATGCTCCTCCCGGCGGCGTCGCAGCTCTCCGGAGAGGCGAGCCTTCGACGAAGAGGATTAGGGTTTAAGGTAAAAACCCTAAAGTAAAGGCCAGAAAGTTGGAATATGATTTTCCTAACCCTTAGGATGGTAAATTATAGGGTATCCTACCATGAAACCATATTCCAACTTTCTGGAGTTCCCTGTAGGGTTTAGGATTTAGGGCTTAGGGTTCAGGGTTTACCCTTCGACGACTAGCATGCCCAGTAACCTAGGAATAAAAAGGGCTGCCGTTTTGGTATTGGGTAACTGTATAGGGAGCCTAGGACTGCAAAAAGGGAATAAGGGTACTACTGGGCATCCTAGACGAAGAGGGTTGCGGCTTTGGGATTTAAGCCTTGGGGTTTAGGAACCTTATATAGGAACCTCCCATGGCCTTCGACAAAGATAGGTTCAGGTTTTGGAGTTGGTGGCTGGGGGATCCTGTTTACTGACTAGTAGGTTAACAAGATTATCAAAGTATAATACGGTTATAATAGAAGCGTTACAATAATGAGGTTCAGAGGGGTTCAGGGTTTGGGGTTTGGCACTCTTTATTATGGGAACCTCCGAGGGCCCTCGACGAAGAGGGGTATAGGGCTTGGGGGTTTAGGCACCTTACTGGAGCCTTACATGGCCCGCGAGGGTTTGGGATTTAGGGTTTGGGGTTCAGGAACCTGGGCGACCTGCTTTAAGGTTTCCGATTTCCCTTCCCGATTCCTGTGACGGATCCGTAGAGGTTTCCGTAAGGTTCCAAGCAGGTGTTGCAAGGGCTTGAGGGGTGATGCTTCGAAGGTTGGTTTGCAGTCTCGGATGCCCCCCAGCTCAGTGAGCCCCGAATAATCCCGAACAGGGGATTAAACGTTCAAACCTGCACCGAAGCATGCCAACCCGGGTACAGGGGATTAGTAACACTTGCCTGGGTCCATCTCGAACTGCATGCAAAAAAACACAGTGGAGGGAGATCTCGATCAGGTCATGTCTACATCACGGACCCATGAAAGACTGTTTTGCCATGTGTTCGTGGAGACTCAGCGGATGATTGCGCGATGTGTATCATTCCTTGGCGGCGCTACCTCTAGGCCCCATTGTAGTTCCTTTTTTGGTTAACCAGTTTTATGGTTAGGATCCTATAACAGAGATTTTGGTTAACCAAAAAAAAGAACTACAACGGGGACTATAGGTACTTCCCTGTATGCAGGACACTCTTAATAAATAAACACGTGTTGCGCCCCTTTCAGCCACGCGTGGCACAACACCATCTGCAAAGTTCAAAATAGAGGTAGTTGTCAAAATTATGGTCCCTTTTTGGGTACCCTAAATATGAGGTGCCGTGTTATAATAAGGACCCAAAAAGGGACCATAATTTTGACAACCACCCATATGGCAGCTACCGACCTGCTTCTCTGCTCCACGATATGTGACGGCAATGGTCATGCCGACGAAAGGATGGCAGAAACTGGAAAAAGTCCCGGAAAGAATAGCTCTCGGCGCAAAAGAACCCGTAGCTAATCCCGCAGCACAGATAATGACCTGCTGGGTCCTTGTTGGGGAGCTTTAGAGACCCGCATTATGGTAACTAGAACTGGGATGGGCTTTGGCAGCCCTGAAAATTATTTATGGATCCGGGCTGTTTTTGTGCATCCATGTGAATGCAACACCAAGCAGCAATCACTCACTCTTTTTCTCCCGCGATCATGTGGAATGTGAACAGTGGTAACAAGAAAAATGCGACACTGACACTGGCAGCTCAGACGATGGTGGCCTGCAGGAGCAGGCAGAAACCAAAATCTGGCGTGACACTCTGACAATGGAAGAATTTGACACTCATTCTGTGTGGCCAGTACAATAACACACCCAATGCGCACCCCTCCATGCCTGCTCAAAGTTGACACTGATTTCCAGCTGGTAGGCCTGACATAATAGAAACACGTGACACTCATTCTGTGTGGCCAGTACAATAACGCACCCAAGACGCACCCCTCCATGCCTGCTCCAAGTTGACACTGATCTCCAAGACGAAGGCCTGCCATAGTGGATGCATTTGACACTCATTCTGTGTGGCCAGTACAATAACGCACCCAATACGCACCCCTGCCTGCCTTGTCACAGTTGACACTGATCTCCAGCTGGTAGGTGTGTCAACTTTGAGCACGCATGGAGGGGGCCTATTGGGTCCCAACACACACCCTCCATGCCTGCTCAAAGTTGACACTGATGTCCAGCTGGTAAGCCTGACATTAAGGAGCAATTGACCGGCCAGTACAATAACGCACCCAATACGCAAACCTGCCTGCCTTCTCCAAGTTGACACTGATGTCCAGGAGGAGGACCTGACTTTAATGGATTGACACTCATCGACATCCACTGCACCGTAACTGCTTGTCGACATGGTGACACTTGGCAGAGGAATCATCAACCAAAACAGAGTAGCACCAGCCAGGCGGCGAGCGGCTCATTCAGACCTTGACTCTTCGAGCAGCTTGACGGTCTGTCAAACTGCTCGAGGAGTCAAGGTCTGAGAGAGCCAGCTGACACTTCATTCCATGACAAAGCAGACGGTAAGCCTGACATAACGGAATCACTTGACACTCGTTCTGTGTGGCCAGTACACTAACGCACCGAACACGCACCCCTCCATCCGTGCCTTCTCTAAGTTGACACTGATGCCCAGGAGGAAGACCTGACTTTAGTGAACTGTCGTCGACATGGTGACACTTGGCAAACTTAAAGGTATCATCAACCAAAACAGAGTCATAGCACCAGCCATGCGGCGAGCGGCTCATTCAGACCTTGACCACTCGAGCAGCTGGACGGTCTGTCCAACTGCTCGACGAGTCAAGGTCTGAGCGAGCCAGCTGACACTTCATTCCATGACAAAGCGAATGGTAAGCCTGACATAATGGAAACATGTGACAATCATTCTGTGTGGCCAGTACAATAACGCACCCAATTCGCACCCCTCCATGCCTGCTCAAAGTTGACACTGATTTCCACCTGATAGGCCTGACATAATGGAAGCATGTGACACTCGTCATTCTGTGTGGCCAGTACAATAACGCACCCAATTCGCACCCCTCCATGCCTGCTCCAAGTTGACACTGATTTCCAGCTGGTAGGCCTGACATAATGGAAGCATGTGACACTCATTCTGTGTGGCCAGTACAATAACACACCCAATGCGCACCCCTCCATGCCTGCTCAAAGTTGACACTGATTTCCAGCTGGTAGGCCTGACATAATAGAAACACGTGACACTCATTCTGTGTGGCCAGTACAATAACGCACCCAAGACGCACCCCTCCATGCCTGCTCCAAGTTGACACTGATCTCCAAGACGAAGGCCTGCCATAGTGGATGCATTTGACACTCATTCTGTGTGGCCAGTACAATAACGCACCCAATACGCACCCCTGCCTGCCTTGTCACAGTTGACACTGATCTCCAGCTGGTAGGTGTGTCAACTTTGAGCACGCATGGAGGGGGCCTATTGGGTCCCAACACACACCCTCCATGCCTGCTCAAAGTTGACACTGATGTCCAGCTGGTAAGCCTGACATTAAGGAGCAATTGACCGGCCAGGACAATAACGCACCCAATACGCAAACCTGCCTGCCTTCTCCAAGTTGACACTGATGTCCAGGAGGAGGACCTGACTTTAATGGATTGACACTCATCGACATCCACTGCACCGTAACTGCTTGTCGACATGGTGACACTTGGCAGAGGAATCATCAACCAAAACAGAGTAGCACCAGCCAGGCGGCGAGCGGCTCATTCAGACCTTGACACTCGAGCAGCTTGACGGTCTGTCAAACTGCTCGAGGAGTCAAGGTCTGAGAGAGCCAGCTGACACTTCATTCCATGACAAAGCAGACGGTAAGCCTGACATAACGGAATCACTTGACACTCGTTCTGTGTGGCCAGTACACTAACGCACCGAACACGCACCCCTCCATCCGTGCCTTCTCTAAGTTGACACTGATGCCCAGGAGGAAGACCTGACTTTAGTGAACTGTCGTCGACATGGTGACACTTGGCAAACTTAAAGGTATCATCAACCAAAACAGAGTCATAGCACCAGCCAAGCGGCGAGCGGCTCATTCAGACCTTGACAGCTCGAGCAGCTTAACGGTCTGTCAAACTGCTCGAGCTGTCAAGGTCTGAGCGAGCCAGCTGACACTTCAGCCATGACAAAGCGAATGGTAAGCCTGACATAATGGAAACATGTGACACTCATTCTGTGTGGCCAGTACAATAACGCACCCAATTCGCACCCCTCCATGCCTGCTCCAAGTTGACACTGATTTCCACCTGATAGGCCTGACATAATGGAAGCATGTGACACTCGTCATTCTGTGTGGCCAGTACAATAACGCACCCAATTCGCACCCCTCCATGCCTGCTCCAAGTTGACACTGATTTCCAGCTGGTAGGCCTGACATAATGGAAGCATGTGACACTCATTCTGTGTGGCCAGTACAATAACGCACCCAATTCGCACCCCTCCATGCCTGCTCCAAGTTGACACTGATTTCCAGCTGGTAGGCCTGACATAATGGAAGCATGTGACACTCATTCTGTGTGGCCAGTACAATAACGCACCCAATTCGCACCCCTCCATGCCTGCTCCAAGTTGACACTGATTTCCAGCTGGTAGGCCTGACAGAATGGAAGCATGTGACACTCATTCTGTGTGGCCAGTACAATAACGCACCCAAGACGCACCCCTCCATGCCTGCTTCAAGTTGACACTGATTTCCACCTGATAGGCCTGACATAATAGAAGCATGTGACACTCATTCTGTGTGGCCAGTACAATAACGCACCCAATTCGCACCCCTCCATGCCTGCTCCAAGTTGACACCGATTTCCAGCTGGTAGGCCTGACATAGTGGACGCATGTGACACTCATTCTGTGTGGCCAGTACAATAACGCACCCAATTCGCACCCCTCCATGCCTGCTCCAAGTTGACACTGATCTCCAGCTGGTAGGCCTGACAGAATGGAAGCATGTGACACTCATTCTGTGTGGCCAGTACAATAACGCACCCAATTCGCACCCCTCCATGCCTGCTCCAAGTTGACACTGATTTCCAGCTGGTAGGCCTGACATAATGGAAGCATGTGACACTCATTCTGTGTGGCCAGTACAATAACGCACCCAATTCGCACCCCTCCATGCCTGCTCCAAGTTGACACTGATTTCCGGCTGGTAGGCCTGACAGAATGGAAGCATGTGACACTCATTCTGTGTGGCCAGTACAATAACGCACCCAAGACGCACCCCTCCATGCCTGCTCAAAGTTGACACTGATTTCCAGCTGGTGGGCCTGACATAATGGAAGCATGTGACACTCATTCTGTGTGGCCAGTACAATAACGCACCCAATTTGCACCCCTCCATGCCTGCTCCAAGTTGACACTGATTTCCAGCTGGTAGGCCTGACATAATGGAAGCATGTGACACTCATTCTGTGTGGCCAGTACAATAACGCACCCGATTCGCACCCCTCCATGCCTGCTCCAAGTTGACACTGATTTCCACCTGATAGGCCTGACATAATGGAAGCATGTGACACTCATTCTGTGTGGCCAGTACAGTAACGCACCCAAGACGCACCCCTCCATGCCTGCTCAAAGTTGACACTGATTTCCAGCTGGTAGGCCTGACATAATGGAAGCATGTGACACTCATTCTGTGTGGCCAGTACAATAACGCACCCGATTCGCACCCCTCCATGCCTGCTCCAAGTTGACACTGATTTCCACCTGATAGGCCTGACATAATGGAAGCATGTGACACTCATTCTGTGTGGCCAGTACAATAACGCACCCAATTCGCACCCCTCCATGCCTGCTCCAAGTTGACACTGATTTCCAGCTGGTAGGCCTGACATAATGGAAGCATGTGACACTCATTCTGTGTGGCCAGTACAATAACGCACCCAATTCGCACCCCTCCATGCCTGCTCCAAGTTGACACTGATTTCCAGCTGGTAGGCCTGACAGAATGGAAGCATGTGACACTCATTCTGTGTGGCCAGTACAATAACGCACCCAAGACGCACCCCTCCATGCCTGCTTCAAGTTGACACTGATTTCCACCTGATAGGCCTGACATAATAGAAGCATGTGACACTCATTCTGTGTGGCCAGTACAATAACGCACCCAATTCGCACCCCTCCATGCCTGCTCCAAGTTGACACTGATTTCCAGCTGGTAGGCCCGACATAGTGGAAGCATGTGACACTCATTCTGTGTGGCCAGTACAATAACGCATCCAATTCGCACCCTCCATGCCTGCTCCAAGTTGACACTGATTTCCAGCTGGTAGGCCTGACATAATGGAAGCATGTGACACTCATTCTGTGTGGCCAGTACAATAACGCACCCAATTCGCACCCCTCCATGCCTGCTCCAAGTTGACACTGA